GTCCAAGGCACAACGTCGACAGTACAGAGGGACCTGGACTTTTGATGTAGCGCCCTTACAGACTGCCGAGATTGGAGTAAGGCTCACCTCTTCCAGTTTTTGCTTCACGACGCCCCTGATCTCGTCGTAGATTGTGGACTGGATCCGCTTGATCCCACCACGGCGAGCGAGTCGTCTGTGACCCTCAAGACAGTGTCAGCGGTGTCTGTGTCTGTATGTCGGGGGGTGTGTAGCGCGTGGCTCTAGGCTTCAGATCATCCTGAGGCTGTCCGCACCGGATTGCTGGTTTAGCTATAGTAGAACGTTCGTCAGGTGTTGTCTTTTTGCTACCCGATTCTGGGATTGTAACGAGATGACTGTAGGTTGCAGGGCTGCTGAGAAACTTACTGATCCCTTGGATGTTGTCTCGCAGGAGCTTGCGATGGCGTTTCGATCCAGCCTTTCCAAGGCCCTTTCCGGCAAAGGCATCTCTCAAAGGCATCGTCGTATGGAACAGGGCAGATCCGTAAAGGGTGGTCTGAGAGTGATGTTTGACAAGCACGACGATGATGGAGAAGAACAAGCGAGGTTTGACGGCTGTCCTTGGGTAGTTGAAGTGTTGAAAGTCGTAACGAAAGACAGTGAGAGAAGTGAGTCGAGGGAGAAGCGAGGATGAAATGAACTGAAGGTGTTGTCGAGGACATGAGGGTCAGAAAGGAGTGTGAATCCAGGGAAATTGAAGAAGAGGGTCCGGCAAGGGATGGAAGAATTAGACATTAAAAGAGGACTGCGAAGTGGTTGCATATCGCATATCCAATGAGTATGTGAATCAGCCAGTATCCAGACCGTTCAAGTTCTATCCAGGTCATGCAATGTCGTTCAGGCGTGCAAACACAACACGCAACTTCATTAGTTCAGGAGATGAAAGTGGCTTCAGAAAAGACCCTGCCAGTCTCCGAGACCTCGTCATCCCCGTCGACCTTGATTTTCAGTTGCAACTTGTCGGTCGAGAAGTACTGCGGAACAGGTCAGTAACAGAAGCAGCGTGGTAAATGCACCGGGAAATGCGGTCGCCTTACTTGGAAGATATGTGGCTTCAAGCCTGTTGCATGGCCTATGAAGGTCTTGACGAACCCAGGCAAATGCGCCAAAACTTCAATCCGATCTGCTCTTGTGGGCAGATCGCCCCTTACTTCCGCGTGTGCAGGCTTACCATCATCCTGGCCATTCCACCTCCATACTATGGTTGTTGGCTCAGGCCAGTCGTGTGGTGTTTCTTGCTTGGATGTAAGATGTTCGGCAGTACATTCACCGACACACACTAACTCTCCGTCTTTGGCAATGCCGCCTACACCGACGGTGGTTTTGCCATAAGATTGAGGTGTTGTGTACTCCATCAAGACCGCAGAATAGCCCTTTGTGTGGATATTGGCAAAATTCCATCTGTTTGCGAGGTGGTGGGGTTTCATGCCTTGAAGGGCATAGATGTAGGTGCCCATGCCCTCCATCTTGTACGTCTTGGTGGGCGTCTGCATGGTGCCTGTCACTGTGCACCGAGGCCAGAAGGCATGTCGCATCGACCCCCATGGATGTGCGGGATCAGTCCCGAAGTATGTAGTACCATCTTTGCCAACTTGGAAACCAGGGGCTTGCCTTTTCAGTGTCACATTAACAATGCATTGTTCATTCCTGGCCGATTTAATTGTGTATGCATCACCCGCCTCGTTCATTTCCAGAGCCACGCCGTCGGCGTAGAAACTGGTCTGTGGCTCATCGAAGCCGTAATCCTTTAGCGGATCGGAGCACCATTGATGCTTCCCAGGTCCTTCATGGTCGAAGATCTTGCTGTTGAACTGGGCGGTGGTATGGAGACCACTATCAACAAATGATCAGCCCGGATGCGGCAACTGCCAGTGGTATGCTTCTTACCCGACATTGCTATAGATGACCTGAGCCATGGCCGTAACACCTTCGTCTGTGTAGAAGTAGAAGGTTTCGGTTTCGACATTGGTATGCTCCAGGGCTTTCCACCGCAAATCTTCCTTCTTCAGGATCGAGTAGGGCGGTGTCTGCTTGGTAACAGGTTGCACCGCTGTAGGCCCATATTCGGGTTCTTCGGTGCCCACGACGTTGGCTAACTGCTGCTTGAACCAATTCATGTTGTCTGTACGCTTGCGATGGGAAAATTGAAAGGTATAGCAGAGACGGATCAAGCCTGGACCATTGGCGCCTGGAGCGATATAGTAAGGATATGAAGGGACGGGATCATTCAGACGTCTGCCGGCCAAGGGGGGATTTTCGACGTCACTGGACGAATCGAATGCTTGCGGTGCCTTGAAGGAAGCATCTTGTTGCGCCTAAGGAGCCCCCGGGTGACTAACAAAATTAAACCCGGGCTACCTGAGCAGCGCCCAAGAATGTCAATGGTACGAGATATGGGCGTATCTAGGCGGGAGCCCAGGAGGCCCAATTGCAACTGCCGCTAGATCCTTCGTGGCCTAGTTTACTGGGCATGCTTTGCCAGGGTCACGCTTCGCGCATTGAGCTTCAATAATTTTCGTACTTGAATCAACAGCACGGAGTAGTCACCCACTCGTCTAGAGCCGTAATTCTCTTCGACATTCGATTGTTCGATACTCACGCTCATTCAGCTACCTGTCGTTGCATTACCCAACCGTTCAATCTTCCATACAATATGGCGAAGGCCGTGGCGGCTCGCGATCAGATCGTGAAATTGATAGTCGGAGCTGGTCAGGCGAGCCCAAGTCCACCAGTCGGCCCTGCACTGGGTAGCAAAGGTGTCAAGAGCATGGACTTCTGCAAGGTGCGGTTGCTGAGAAAACTACCAAACGAAAGACTGGCTGATGCTTGAGAAGGAATTTAATGCCCGTACCGCTCACATTACTCCCGGTGTCCCGGTTCCAGCACGGGTCACAGTTCGACCGGACCGTTCTTTCAGCTTCGATATCCGCACACCCAACACCTCTTGGCTTCTTCTCCAAGCTGCTGGGGTCAAGGAGGCCAAGGGCAAGATCAAAGGTGCACAAAGACCAGGCCACGAGAGCGTTGGCACGGTGTCACTGAAACATATCTACGAAATCGCGAGGATCAAACAAAGCGAAACACGGTTATCTGGCTTGAGTCTCGAAGGTCTTTGCAAGTGTATCATCTGGCAGTGCAAGTCCATCGGCGTTAAAGTTGTGCCGTAACCAAAGACGGGTCATGGTCGAGGCCGCCATAATGGTTCAGGTTCGTGGTCGGCCTGCGTTTGGCCATTGAGATTCCGAAAGTCCTCTTGCACTATGGTGCGCGACGACACTATGATGTCGACTTCGATGCAGATGACAGACACTTCCGACCAACTCCTCGCCTCTCATATCCTCAGACACATGTTGAACAAACTCAAGCTGGGATATGGGTCCGTCGAGCGGTGGACATTCTAGTCCTACCTCGGATGCAAGTACGATAATCAAGACGTGACGGAACGCTCGAGGGAGTGATGGAAACAGCTTGTCGGCTACTTCGGAAAGCCTCGGTCACTAGAGAGGAATCTGCCATCTCCGGAACGTTGACCGACACTTATACAACACTGAGACTAGAGATCTCGGGGAAAACCTGAGAGAAGCCCGGGTAGGGAGAGACACGGACAGCACGGGGGACGCTGATCCAGTAACTGTATTGGTCATTTGCCATGGCAATCTTCGACTATCCGGCATGAACGTCCAACATCATTATTTTCACGACCCCGTGGGGATGGCGCCACGTCGAGAAAGCGAGACAACCGGGAGATTTGTCCCGTTCCAGCGGCTTCGAAGAATTCGTATGACCATATTATATGGGATCAGGCGTTCTGGCTTGGGTAATGGAATCGGCTCCGCACCACCCTCAAATCGCTCTACTCGGATGGGCAGATGATGACTCGTATTGCAAAGTCCATAAGGGTACGAGAGATGACGTCGCGCCTAAAGAAGATTCTCTCTCGCGTTTAGGCAGACATCGACATCTCGTAATACGCAAATGGGAGCTGAAGGGACGTGTGGTATGCAGCGTTGTCATCATATTGTCTCCGGGCCAGCCGGAAGGAAAGCCTTGGATAGACTGGAGGCAAAGATGAAGCAGGTGACAGACTCCAGCGGCTTAGAAGATGTTCAGGGTCGGATGCTTCTGCGCTCCGCTCTGCCACCCGCCTTTACAACTACACAGTATGTCTTTGTGAGGACATTCTTGGTGGCCGTAATGATATGCACTTTTACACATCATTGTTGCCGTGAGCCGGCCTTACGGGCTCGGTACCGTCAGCCCATCTCTGTGACTCCTGGGGCCGAAAGAGCAGCTAGGGAATTGTGCCAATTGCCATCCTTTTTGCCGTGCTTTGGTTCCAAAGGAGCAATGATATGCTGAGACGAGTGTTTGGCGGGGCAATAGACATCCCACCTTCTGCTCGGTGTGTCTTTAGCGAACAAGTCTCGCACGCTGAGTCGCTGATGGACCTTTGTTCCGGCGGATCTATTGGAGTGCGGTTATTAAGTGAGCACCAAGTTTATCACTGTACCTACAGTTGACCTACCGCTTTGGCTTTCATATGCCAGTAGAGGACTGCGTTCCTTGGTCTTGCGCTGTCTCACTTTTTCATACTCCGTCCTGTCGTCTTCTGCTCCACCAGGTCCATTCTCGTCGGCGGTTCCGTCTGCGTGTATAGATCAACCCAAGATCAAAATCTCGCAGTCTACGTAACTGAACGCATGTGAGTTCCATCAGCTCCACTCGGCCGGCCAATGCTCTGCCAGTGTACTTTTCGTTCCCGTATTAGCTCATCTACTCTCCGAAAAGCCCAGCGCGGGACAGCAATAGTGCTCCTTACTCTAACATGAGTTCTTTTCAGAGTATCGGATTCTAGTGTCTCTCAGGTCTTCACTTGCACCAATACATCAGCAGGGATCAACGTTCGTTAATGTAGCCGATCGCTTTCCTATCCGCCGACCATCGCAATCAGAACCCCTCCACCCCACGATCCCGACAAAATGACTTCCAAACTGTCCGCGATGCTTCTTCCCGGGGACGACTCAAAGGGCGAAAAAGGTACCTGCAGCTTGTGGACTGTGGTGAGAGCACGTTAGGCTGACTCGGAGGTCATAGATGCCAAACCGGAGCTAGAAGAGAAAAAGAATGCACAATCTGCGCAAGGTGCTGTACGATTTACTTCGGACGACGAGGAAATAGACCCTCTCGATGAGTCAAGACGGATATCAGAGGCTAGCGGGGTCAAGAACGAGGAGCTTAGCCCTGAGGCACATGAACAGATCCGGAGCCTGGCCATGTCGTTGCAAAAGTCACGGTTACAAGAGAGCAGGATGGCCAATTTTGCATACGAGACAGTCTCGATGCCTCCGTCCCGGGTATGCGGAACGTCCTCCATCTTACTAGAAGACGCTGACAGCAGTTCTCTCAGGTCCCTTCGAGAGACAGTGAGGCGCCCGGGACTCCTCGTGGCTCTATAAGACACGGTCACGGTTCCATGTCCTCTGCTTTCCAGTCCCCACCGTTGACACCGCATGGCTCAAAGGATGGCAAACATGATTCTGTGTCTGCTGGGCGGGGTCAATCCGGCCAAAATGCTATAACTCCACAGACATCGCCTCCTCCAGACCAGCACGGCAGAGCATTATCGCAGTCAATATCCCCTTCCCAGCCTGTCCCGTCTTCCTCGAACGAGCAGCCCTCAAGTAAGCCTGACCAGGGGCAGGAAAGAAGAGTAGCCAGATTTGAGATTGGACCTTCCGAGTCAACAAGTCCTGCGGACCAAAGTCCAGTGGGAACGCCCAAGCTTCGACCCTCGTCACCTCAACCCGGCGGCCAGCAGAAGCAGACTGAGCCACGTCACTTCGGAAGTCTTGGAAGGGGCTCGCTTGCCCCGGCCATCGCAGCTGCCGCTGAGCGGATACCGCGGCAGCCAAGTAGTAGCGATATCTCTGGGTCGGATAAGCGCAGTTCAATCTTCGGACCAAGCAAGAAAGACCCTTATTCTCACGTCACAGATAGCGGCAACGAGAGGACTGGTCTAGAAGGGAAGAAGCATGGATCAATGTCTGAACTGAAGCGATTTTTCAGACTTGGTCACGGCCACAAGAAGCACAGCACACCACAAGAGTCTCCAGCAGCATCCGTTCCAGCTTCACGGAAATCTACTAATCAGAAATCCGGCACCAGAACACCTCCTCACCAAGCTCCCCCCGCCAATGTTCCCTTTATGGATGATCACAGCCTTGAGGCCAAATATGGCAAGTTCGGCAAAGTCTTGGGTTCCGGAGCCGGTGGCTCTGTGAGGCTACTCAAACGGAGCAGCGATGGAGTCACTTTTGCCGTCAAGCAATTCCGAGAAAAGCACTCCTGGGAAAGCGAGAAAGACTATTCGAAGAAGGTTACGGCAGAGTTCTGTATCGGATCAACCTTGCATCATGGCAATATCATCGAAACCATGGACATTATCCATGAAAACCATCGATGGTATGAGGTGATGGAATATGCACCATACGATCTGTTTGCAATTGTGATGACAGGAAAGATGTCGAGGGAGGAGATTGCGTGCGCATTTCTCCAGATTGTCAATGGTGTCAGCTACCTGCACAGCATGGGGCTCGCACATCGTGACCTCAAGTTGGACAACGTGGTGGTTAGCGAGCATGGGATCATGAAGTTGATCGACTTTGGCAGCGCCACCGTGTTCAGGTATCCGTTCGAAAACGAGATCGTGCTTGCTTCGGGTTGGTTACCAGTCCCAATGACCGAACAACTGCTAACTTGAAGTACAGGTATCGTCGGATCTGACCCATATCTTGCTCCTGAGGTGTATGAGGAAAAGAAGTATGATCCGACGGCTACTGACATCTGGTCACTGGCCATTATCTTCTGCTGTATGTCTCTACGCCGTTTCCCGTGGAAGCAGCCGCGACTTGTGGACAACTCCTACAAACTGTTCGCATCTCCGCCCACCCCCGGCACACCGGTCCCCGATTCTCATCCCCGAAAGCACTCACCGCTGAACCCGATTGATGATCACTCTACTTCGCGGCACAATTCGGAAGCCAACGGCGGTACCCAGTCCTCACACCACGGCCATCACCATTCGGAGAGCGTCGACGAAGGCAGGCCTTCCACCTCTGGTGGTGACAAGCAGGAAGTAATCAAAGGACCGTGGCGGCTTCTCCGGATCCTCCCCCGCGAGAGCCGGCACATCATCGGACGCATGCTCAAGATCGATCCGGCGGAACGAGCGACTATGGAGGAAGTCCTTGAAGACGACTGGGTGCTCAATGCGAAGGTGTGCTATCAAGAGGAGAACGGCACTGTTCACCACGCTGAAGGCCACACCCACGTGTTGGAGGCTGGTTCGGGAGGTCCGCCACCACCCAAATAGTACAAGAGCTGCCGGCGTGGCATTTGAGCTGCAGGCGGGTACTTTTCATGGTCGGCCTGGAGACTGTGCGGACACGGCTTTGACCATGTCACGGCACAGCAATGACGGGCGGGCTGCGTGGGATGCGAAGGTGGAGCTTACCGAGAAACGCGGGTGCGCTTGACGGGGCGCCTTTGGATACTTTGGTCGAGATGCGTTCAGGAGAAAATGGTCAAAGTCTTAGTGAGAGGGTCATTATATTGTAGATACCAGTTTACCACGTTCAACCACAAATGAAGCCATGATGAAATGGACCTCAGAGGAGCACCATACGAGCACATGGACTCGCCTCGGAGTAATTGCCCCCGTAGCATGCCACGTTCGGCCCCAGCTTCTCGGGGAGCTCGTGGTGTTAGTGGCGTGCCATCCGCAATGCCCTTGCCCGCACTTTGCAACGACGCAGGCTAAATGCGAACTACCTGATCTGCCGACGGCAGCTACTCCATGCTCCTCCGACCTATTCCAACTTCGCAGGTGGATTCGAGATCAAGGCTGCGTCCTCTGGGCTTTTCAAGCGGCAATGGATGGTTAGAAGTGCACGAACCGCAGTGTGTCGCGAGGATTAGAAACTCGAGGGGCCTTTTTGACAGTACTCGCATATGGCCAAGAAGAAGCGCCAGAGGATCAGCTATGGTTTGTCGCCCGGTCTTGGACACGCTGTCGCACTTGCTAACAGACGCCAGTCCTGCCTCTGGCAGCCTCGCCGGGAGGCCACCGGCTTGGGGTGAACGGACTCGCTTTCGACGAGGACCGCGATATCCTGTGCGTACATGCCCACCGCGACCATGCGAGCGAATACTGAAATATAATGCAGATACACTGGCGGGCGTGACGGTGTGATATGTGCCTGGAATCTAGATCTCGAGGCGCAGAGGGCACAGCAAGACGCAGGGACAAAGGACAAAAAGGGCACTGTTTCCTTTCGCAAGCAGGTGCAGGCGCATACGCATTGGGTCAACGACATTGTCCTGGTCAAGAACAATCTCGGGCTGGTATCTGCGTCTTCCGACGTCACCGTCAAGCTGTGGCGACCCCACGGCCACGAGACCACTCAAGCATACACCATCGGCTCCCACAGTGACTATATCAAGTGTCTTGCGACTCCCGACCGGACCGCGAATTGGGTTGCATCGGGAGGCTTGGACCACAAGATATGTCTGTGGGATCTGAACGGGGCCGGCAAGAACCTCGAGATTGACGTAGGCAAGATTCAAGACGTGGTCAAGGGGTCCGTATATGCACTCCGCGCCCGAGGCTCTCTGCTGGCGAGTGGTGGCCCCGAGAGTGTGGTTCGACTGTGGGATGTCAAATCTGGCAAGAGCATAACCAAGCTTGTTGGGCACACAGACAATGTCCGAGACATCTTGATCAGCGATGACGGCGACACCCTGCTTACCGCCTCGTCCGATCAGACCATTAAAGTCTGGTCCATTGCCGCTGGAAGATGTGTCCATACCTTGACCATGCACAACGACAGCGTTTGGTGCATGTTTTCGGATGACCCTAACCTGGCAGTCTTTTATTCGGGAGACAAGTCTGGACTCGTTGCCAAAACAGACACGCGTCGTGCCATGGAAATCGACGACGGCGTTTCGGTCGCCATTTGTCAGGAGCACGATGGCATTGCGCGGGTTCTCCCTGTGGGCGATTTTGTGTGGACGGCAACATCGAGTTCGAGCGTTAACCGCTGGCTTGATGTCGATACGGAGCTCGAGGTGGAGACGCCGCCATCCTCGCCACGCGAGGAAAGGGCTGCGAGTCCAGAGGCGAGGAAAAACCTGTCGCCTGAAGATGCTCGAACAGAGTCACCCACCTCGACCAAAGAGGGTATGACCAACGGGACCACGAATGGCGAAGTGGACCACAAGAAGAAGATACCACATACCGCTATCCTTCGAGTCTCAAACACTGCTCTGCTTCCTGGCCGAAAGAATCTGGGCAGATTACCCAATGCGTCGGCGACAAACTTGAGGAAGGCTTCAGAAGTCATGATTGCCGACGATCTGAGTCTAGTGGTCCCTGTCCGAGGACAACCTGCTGAGACTATCGAAGGCCAGAACGGACTTATCAAACACGTCATGCTAAACGACAGAAAGCGTATCCTCACCCTGGACACTGCCGGTGAAGTTGTGTTATGGGATCTGTTAAGAGTAAGTCTGCTTCCCTGCCTGAGGCTGGGACCTATTTGACACGCAACAGTGCACGCCGATCAAGTCGTTCGGCCGTCGCCATTTGGACGAAGTCGTGCCGGAGGTCAACACCACAGAAAGCGTCGCCAATTGGTGTGGTGTGGACACAAAGACTGGCAAGATCACAGTCATGCTCGAGGAGAACTATTGTTTCGATGCGGAAGTGTATGCAGACGAGGTTGATCTGCCCGACAACGTTCATTTCCGGGAAGATCAAAGGAGTGAGTGGGATATCTCGTGGACGACCGACCGTACTGATGATACTTCACAGTTAATCTCGGAAAATGGGTCTTGCGCAATCTGTTCTCCAAGTTGATTGACGAAGAGATTGCTCGCGACGAGGAGCACAGACGCACCCTTCAAAGCAAGATTACTCCACCGCCCAGCACTGGCCTCATTCGACCCGGTGCACCAACGAGTATTGCCATGCCAGAATCTGTTGGAACAACTCCTATGGTATCTCCGGGGACCACCGCCACGCCCCGGGCAAACGGACTAGGAAGGATTCCTCCTACGCCGGGCTTAGCAATTGGGGCGGCTACTCCGGGGTTCGCACCCCTGAGCACCACCCTTTCTACGACGGCAGAAGAAGACGGAGCAGCGACTCCAAACGGTACAGCGCTTACTCCTCGAACGTCGACGCCGAGGGTACACACTCCTCGCGTGCAGCAAACCCCGTCGGCAACAGAGTCACAAGGCGTGGACTATTTCTCGTCTTCAACCACCACCGCTATCGATCAATCAGAAGCATCATCAGATAGCGACAAAGTCCCCAAAACACCGGGCATGGGAACGGAAAACAACTCCGGCACGGTCTCCACGCCAACTTCACCAACGGAAGAAAAGAAAAAGGGCTTGTTCGGCAAGAAGTTCGGCATGGGCATGTCCTTGGGCAAGAAAATGACAACCCGCACCTCAGCAGAGGTGAAGGTGCCTGTGGCTTCAGCAGAAGAGAAATTATCGGATACAGCCTCGATGCGGTCGTCCGACAAAGACACTGAGAAGGTGCATAACATCGAGGACAATTTCTTCGGCGTTGTGCAGAAGATCCGTCTCGAGTACGACGAGCACATTGAGCACCGGCCAGATCAGCCACTGCCGCCAGGCATAACGCCCAGCCCGTCCAGCGAAACGCCAGTGCTGGCTCCACCACCTCATACCACAATTATCATCCAGGAGGATAATCCGGAGAGTGGCGGCCTAGCGGACCAATATAGGGGAGAGATCAGTGAGTTAGGCAACCCGAGCGAGGTTGACACGTTGGAGAAAATTGCGCCGATGTGGCTGGGTGACTTGTTGTTGCGAGTAAGTTCAACACACCGCGATCCTCCAAGCCCATCGATTAGTGTTCGCCTGCTGACTCGGTCTCGTGGCATTCCAGAATCAAATCCCGTACAAAGACACAGTCAAGGTGTCTTTTGTGCTGCACCCTTATGACAACCTTCTTCCAGCTATTGCATCGCCTGATGGCAACGCCCGCCTCAATGCGAATCGCATGCTGCGCGCGAAGAAAATCATGGCGTATGTTGCGGAGCGAATTGAAGCTCCCGCTCACGCCCCCATTGCGCCGCCTCCGGATACAGCTCAGTCTAGCGCAACGCATACCGAGAGCGAGCCACCTCCACAGGCTCAACAGACAAGTGAAGCCGGACCGACTGAAATCCCGGCGCCGGATAGCGAGCAGGAGAACGCTGAGGAGCAGTTGAAGCCGGAAGAATATCTGGAGCTCTACTGCCAGGGCCAACGCGTCGACCCGAACACCACGCTCGCAACTCTAAGGGTGCATGTCTGGCGGACAGGCGGAGATGTCGTGCTTTACTACAAGAGCAACGGGCGAAAAGAGCTGAGGCTGCCGCATCCTGCTCAGGTTCCTACCAGGGAGGAAAGCGAGGAGACCACCGGGGTCGTAAGGTAATACCAGGTGCAAGACAGATGAGACTCCGATCAAGGAGCGGGCTCAGGACCTCTTAAGCCCCTTCAGAGTGACAAGTCTGGATGTTGGGTTTAGTCGACGATTGGAGATGAAAGGCAGGTCGCGGTGAGTTGTGAGCGTCCTGAATGTCACGCCCTTTGCCAGGGTGGGCCAGTCTTGGAGCCGAGTGCTGGAATATAGGAAGTACATAGTCGAGAATAGCGGATTGATCTCCTGAGCTCCAAGTCTAAATGTTGGATAAGTCAAGGGTTCTGGTCCCCAAGCAAGAATGTGTGGACACATAGACCATTTCGAAAGCTGCGAGGATGACCAGGAGTGGCACAGTGGGAAGGTCAGCCTTCCACGTGATTTTGCGCTCGACGCGCAGGGGACAGCCTTCCACGTGATGCGCGCGTTCGGTCCACCTTCCTCGAGCTCGCCTCCCAGATTGTCCAAGCTGCGGCCTTCATTCGGATGCATCATGAGCTCCTCCTCTTCCAGACATTCCTCCCCACCTTTTGAAGCCGCTCTTCTCGCAGATTTTGTCAGGGGCGAGGCTGCGAGATGAGTCTCATCTACCCTACTGGCGGCGCGCTTGGTGCCTTGGGCGTCATAGGGCTTTGTAAGACCGCCTGGCGCCTTTTCGAGGTGGACGGCTAATCGTTGCTTGCAGATATGCTCTTTAATGGCGAAGGCGAGCAATTCAATGTATGGAGCGCCTCACACGCAGACACCTTTTGTGGTCGCCATTAAAGTCTAACCCGTGAGTTACAGGTTGGACAATTCCTTGAGACAGTGTCGCCGTACGCATGGGCGGACTTGGGCATAGGCCTCTGCATAGGGTTATCGGTGGTGGGAGCAGCATGGTGAGCAAGACACAAACCGCCATCTGTTCCTACCGTAGCCATGCTGACTTCTACTCTTTCACAGGGGAATCTTCATCACCGGCACCTCCATCCTCGGCGGCGGCGTCAAGGCACCACGGATACGAACGAAGAACCTCATTTCCATCATCTTCTGCGAAGTTGTGGCCATCTACGGCGTCATCATGTCGATCGTATTCGCCTCAAAACTATCCATGGTGCCGGAAGAGGCACTCTACACGGGATCAAATTACTACACTGGCTACGCACTATTCTGGGCTGGGTTGACGGTTGGAATGTGCAACTTGATCTGTGGTGTCAGTGTGGGCATTAATGGGAGCAGTGCGGCTCTCGCAGACGCGGCGGATGCGACTATGTTTGTCAAGGTGCTGGTCATTGAGATCTTCTCGAGTGTGCTGGGATTGTTTGGGTTGATTATTGGGCTGTTGGTGAGCTCGAAGGCGGCTGAATTCTCGTCATGACCGACACGCCATTCCACCAAGATGACACTACCAACGTATCCCACACCTCCCTCGACCACTTTGGCAGACAGACCGCTGTCGGTAGGATGGTCCCAGCAGAATCTATCTGTGAAGGACGACTGGGGATGCGACATGACGATGGCGCCAACGAACAGATCAGTGAGGAGGGACATCTGAAGGAGATTGGACGAAGTGAATCCAACTGTATATTGCACGCCCTTTCCCAGGCCCTGTGTTGATGAGCCCCGGGGGAATGTTTTAGCGGCTGGATCGGAACTCCGAATTCCCAGCAGTGTGTTGCATAGGCCAACGATGATATAGTCTAGCACGCTGACTCGAGGTCTCGCTCAGTGGGCCTACAGCTGTGCCAGCCTCCTGCCACCTCGCGCTGTTGGATGGTGTTGTAGACACGCAGCATGGTACAAGTAGCTCGCCAAGTGGCTGCAGGTGCCTACGTCATTGTCTTTGCGGACGCAGGCTCAACTGAGACTCTGCACAGCATCCAGGCTTGCACCATGTGGTTCAGGACGACAGATAGGAAAGTTGATATTGTCGTTCAATTCCTACACTTCTCCTGCGTCGAACACTCATGCGCCCTTAGTGATCTCGGTGTGGCAGGAAGGGACCGCCACGATGCATTGCAGAAACAAAATGGACTAGACCCGACCACACCATCCATTTCCCGACACTCACATCCGGCCCGAACATCGTTGGAAGAGAGATCACACTATATCTGAACCGGGCAATACCCATGGCTCAACCGGTGCACTCCCTAGGGCCTACGTGTGCCTTTTACGACGAAGAGCCCCACGAGGAAGCTGTCGACGATGGCCTAGCACCTCCCACTGTCAGAGCACAGTTCTTCTACGTGTCCTCGTTGCCCATAGACGATCCCCTGTCTCCTCTCCCACCTGTGTCTGCGGACAAAGCCACAGACCTACCACCCCAGCCGTTCTCGGTCCGAGACAATGCTGCTCTGGAAGAAGCATGGCAAGCTCTCCACCGCAGCGGTGAAGACCTCAACGAGGAGCAGAGGGAAAGGAGGAGGAATCTTGCTACAGGAGTTTTCTCTTTCCCACGTTCCAGAGATGTTCGTGGCGGAATGTCCAGGGCAACGGCGTCGGGAGCCTCTGACAGCAAGGCCAGTTCACGCGGCCGCACAAAACCATCGGCGAAAGTGCCGGCCTCAAGTTCGGAGGTTATGCTGGATCACACGCCTGTTGATCCGCAGGGCGAGTCTAGGCCGGTGAATGCGGAAGAGCTGCGCGAGAGTTCCGGAGCTCAGCAGCAACCGAGCAAAGATTCAGGCAGGCACAGGAAGCACCGCTCGCCTTTCCGTCACCGACACAAGGGAGGCAAGAAGAGCCGCGACGCTTCTCCGAACCAACACAAGCTTGATGAAGATGGTCTATCCGGAGCTCAACCAACCGCTGACCCTGGGTCTAATATTAGCGGTCGACCTTTTGCGCGAGCTCCCAGTGAACGCAACATCAGTTCTTCCCTGCCGCATGGATCTGGGTATGCCAACGCTGACTTTTCGGACGCAGAGTCTACGAGTCGCTCCCGGAGCGCTGGCCGACATGGCAAGGACAAAGAGGACGAGGACGAGAAGGCATTCGTCCCGGTTGGAGTGTCCAAGCTACATTTGGTCGAGCTGCCTGACCTCGTGATGAAACCTATATACTGGTCCCCAATCAACGATACTTCAAATGTCATACGCGCCACATGGTTCTACAAAGACACCATGTTGCCAGTGCCTGCCGAAGTGGCCAACCGTTTGGAGGTGGGCTACGAGTACATCAAGCCGTTTGCACCCTCGTATCAGGAAGAACTGCAGGCTTGTATCGACAACGGTGCTGCTGCCGAGATGAAGGTCGTGCATAGATTGTGGCCCGACGACTTGAAGAGCAGCAGACCTTCCACCAGCCTCGATATCAAGGAGTCAGACCACCCCGAGCGGCGAAGGAGCCAGGAGCTGCCGGAAACGGTTCAGAACGCAGCGGCAGATCCGCAGAAGGCTTGGACGAGGCGACTGTTTGCCACTCACAGCGTCATCTACACGGACGCTCGAAATGCTCAGATCTTGAAGCCTAACCTGCTCCCATCGATTGCTCAAAATCGTCGACCGCTGAGCTCCCTGCGCAAGGGTCGACAGATAGGCGTTGCTGTTGTTCGTGGTTTCGATCGCAAAGCCTGGTTGAAAATCCATCCTGACCACAAGATGGATGCCAAAACTGCCCACGCCAAGGTTGGCGCGTATATGTCGCAGTCCGGGGACGCCACCACGCGAGGTCGGCGCATGTCCTGTGCAGCCTGTGACCAAGAGAGCGCCGGACCAAGGGTTAGTGACCTGGTCCTGGTCATCCACGGCATCGGCCAGAAGCTCTCGGAAAGGGTTGACAGTTTCCACTTCACTCACGCCATCAATAGTCTGAGGCGCGAGTTTAATGTCGAACTAGCCACCGAGGTGGTCAAGGGCAACTTGAGACATGGGACCGGTATCATGGTTCTGCCGGTGAATTGGAGACTGACTCTGTCCTTCGATGAAGACATCAAAACCGCTTCCGAGGACACCGAGAACAAATTCGGGTTGAAGGACATCACCCCGGACAGTCTTCCAGCGGTTCGCTCCGTTATCAGCGACGTGATGCTGGACATTCCATACTACATGTCACACCACAAGGAGAAAATGACTTCGGCGGTCATCCGAGAAGCGAACCGAGTTTACCGACTATGGTGTCGAAACAACCCTGGGTTCGAAGATTATGGCCGCGTTCACCTGATCGCTCACTCGCTGGGCTCCGTGATGGCCATGGAGATACTCGGGCAGCAGCCGACTCGGATAGGGAAGGACATCAAGCTGGACCCCAAAAGTCCGAGTCAGAAGTTTTTTGAATTCGACACGACCAATTTATTTTCCTGCGGCAGCCCTTGCGGCTTCTTCTTGCTTCTCCATAATGCCAGTCTCGTTCCCCGTAAGGGCAGGGACAAACCTGGTATGGAAGGTGAAGACGGACAGCCTGGGATTGCTAGCGAGGCCACGTACGGGTGTCTCGCCGTGGACAACATCTACAACATTGTCCACAGAAACGATCCCATCTCGTATCTGCAAAACGCATCAGTGGACGAACTGTACGCTAGGTCGCTTCAACCTGCCGTGATCCCCAGCGCCAGTGTCGGCTTCATGACCCGCGTTGGCAGACATCTGCACCTGGCGTCGAGCACGGCGGGCGACGCATACGCAACTGCCGCGCCACCGGTGCGTCCGGAGCTTCAGCAGATGCCCAGTACCGTCGAGCTGGAGACGCACAACTTCTCGAGGGAGGAAATTGCCGAGAAACGCATGTATCTGCTCAACGAGAATGGACAGATTGATTGGTTCCTATCGGCCGGCGCTGGACCCTTGGAGTTTCAATACTTGAACATGCTCAGCGCGCATAGCAGCTACTGGTTGCTGCAAGACTTTGTCAGGTTCCTGGTCGTGGAGATTGGAAGAGAGCCCGGGAAGAGTCACACATTGCCGGCGTTGAGAGCGGTCAAGAAGAGGGAATTCAAAAGAGGGGATATCCCTGACTGAGCAGGCGGTGTTTTGCATCTTTTAGCATTGGTAGCGTTCGAGCATGGGTAGCATTGGTAGCATTGCAGGGGTTGATGCCACATAGACTTGGCGGCGACACAGGGCCAGGATGAGAGGGTGCCACTATAGACCGGCGTGGAGCATCAGTCGGTGTACTTTTGACATTGCCATGGTTTTGTATTGATACCCCAAGTAAGAACAGGCCTGCCCGAATGAGTAGGCTGACGGAATACAGTAGCTTGATGTCAATAATCAATCTTGTTCAACTTAGAAATGTGTGGCCGAAGTGCACGACGTGCATGAGCATGAGCATGACCGGGGCCAGAGCTCACCGAGGGACAGTACAGTACAGTACAGTACAGTACAATACTGTCGTATGTGCAGTCCTACTACCGTCGGGCCCGTGACGCGTGGGGAGTAGGAGGTCAAATATTGCTGCAGGCAGTAGGGCGTGGCTGATACACGAACATCCCACCTCTCCATATCCAGTGGGACAAGGACAGTCGGGATGATCAATGGAAATGATGTCGATATTATGATGGATGCACGGATCGATGATATCGACGATATCGACGGAGGAAGACGGCAAGGCGGCGAGATACCACAGCGAGAATACCACAGCGAGATGGTACTATAAGACAGCAAGACACGCCACAGTGAGAGGACAAGAACTTGCTGAGAAAGGTAGGTCCACTACCGCAGGACCGAGTACCACAGTACAGTACTATCGGCTGGTACTGCCGGTACCGCAGGGAGATCAGCCCTTGCCATCTACCTTCTTGCTCGCTACAGTACAGTACATTATTAAGGCACTTGACCCAACCTTCCCCAATGTACCCAGTAACCTTTTCAACCCACTTACTCGTTAGAAACCCCTGACCAACCCCATCATCAAGGCCTCACACTCGGCGCCCTCGTCGACGAAACCGTCCCTCGCAGGCATCACGAGCAGGGCATTTGCGCTCGCGACACTCCCGACCCGCGAACTCCGCTGCATGCCCGTACTCCGCGCGACGAGGCGACCGTCAGAGGAGGTGGGATCAACGGCGACGACGGCGCGATGGTATTCCGTGCGCGCGGCGTCGCAGCGCAGTCGGCCTTGGAGGCGGACCTTGACGCGAGGGAGGCCCGTGGGCGAGGGCATGCCAACCAGTTTTTGCAGGCAGGGGAGGAGGAACAGGTTGGCCGTGACGAGCGCGCTGGCTGGGTTGCCTGGGAGGCCGAAGAGGAGGCGGCGGCGGTGGGCGTGGCGGGTGTCGCCCTGGGGCTCGCTAGAGTGGATGGCGGTGCCAGGACGAGCACCGGCGTCAGTTTCGGTTGTGGCGCTAGCGGACGATCTCCGAGTCAGGTCGTTATCTTTATCTTTAATCGACACACTCGCAAACGTCGTCGGCTTCCCAGGCTTCATGCTGACTCTGCCAAAGTGGACGGTGCCACCTAGGGCGCGCTCGATGGTCGGTTTCAGCAGGTCCAGCTCGCCCATGGACACGCCTCCCGTCGTGACCACCACGTCGACGCTGTGTAATCGGAACGCGTCGCGCAGCTTGAGCTCGAGTTCCTGCGCGGGCGTGTCGCGCGCGACGTGCAGGTCCACGACTTCCTCGCACAGGTTCCATCCGCGGATCAAACTCAGCAGGGCCGGCCGGTTACTGTCGCGGATCATCCCGCCCGTGAGCGGGCCCGGGTGGGTAATGTCGGTGACTTCGTCGCCCGTCGAGAGCACGCCCACGCGCGGCTTGCGGTATACGGGGACGTGGCGCGTGCCGCTGGCGGCGAGCACGCCGATCTCGCCTCCCAGGGGTGTGAGTTGGGTGCCTTTGGTGAGGACTAGGTCGTTGAGCTGGACGTCGGAGCCCGGTTCGCGGATGTTTTCCCCTGGGACGATCTTGTCGGTGAGGATCTCGACGGTTTGTTCCTCCAGCCCGTCGGGGCTGAGGGTCGCGATGACCGTGTCTTCCACCATGACTACTGCGTTGGCGTTCTCGGGGAGTGGGGCGCCCGTAGTGATACGTGCAATTTGACCGGGTTGTAGCGGTGGAGGGAGGGATGTGGCTTGGGCGTGAGACACCGAGGCGACGGGGAAAGTGCCTTTGGTGCCGGTGCCAGGTACAGATGGCTTGCCCGATACCTCCGTGTTACACTTGTCCGGGACGATTACGGCGTATCCGTCCACCAGACTTGCTCGGTAGGCCGGCACGGCTTCCTTGGCGTAGATGTCTTCGGCTACGACGTAGCCTACCAGGTCGGGCGAAAGGTCTCGCACTTCGACTGTGGGAGGGGGGGTGTTTTGCAGAATCACTGACACGGCTTCCGAGACGCTGAGCATCGGGTATGGTGACGAGCGGTACCGCTGGCTGGCGCCGAGACGGGGGTCATTGGATTGCAACTGCGGTCGTTCTGCGGGGGTGGTGTGGGCTTTTGGGATTCTGTGGCCATGCGAGTGGTTATGCCCGTGATCGTGATTATGGCCGTGGTCATGTTGATGTGAATGGGAATGGGAATGATTGTCCGTAGAAGATTTGCCTGGCGGAGCACTGTTTGCCGACGAAGAAACAACACCAGCCTCCCTCTCCAGCTTCTTCACACCCCCCGAGTGTGCGGCGCGCGAGTCCTCCCCTGCAGCCTGGAAGCACGCATGCGGCAAGAGCTTGACCACGGCCTGAAGATTCTCCTTGGCCCCCTTGGGACTCCCCGGCAGGGTGATGACGATGGATTTATTCCTCACGCCCGCGACCGGCCGTGCCATCATCGCAAAGGGCGTCACCTGGAACGAAGCCGCCAGCATGGCGTGCACGATCCCGGGAGCTTGGCGGTGCAGTAAAGGCGCGATTGCCTCTGGGGTAAAATCCCGCCTGGCGAAGCCGGTCCCTCCGGTCGTGATGACCAGGTTGACGACCCCGCCGCCGCTGTTGTTACTCTCCGTGTCTGTCCAGGCGCGGACGGCTCGTTGGATCTCCACCACGTCGTCCTTCACGATCGCTGTTAATGGTTCGGTCCACTTCCCGGCTCCGTCCTGGACGAGCACGTCGCTGAGCGTGGGGATTGCCTTGTCCGTGGAAGGGTCCGAGGCCGCGGTGTCGGAGATGACGAGAATGGCGGGGCGGAGGAGGGCCATCTTAGCCTTGGCTGGAAAGTTCCGAATTGTGCAACGAGAGATATGAAGATAGGTACAAGTATGGGCAGTGGATAGAGACTGGAGAAGAAGGCTGGACGAAGATAGTCGCTTAGTCATCCGGCTTTGCAAGCTACGGCGGAACATTTTCCCGCGGAGCGTAGCGTAGCAATTACCCAATCCGAAATATATCCACGCTAAAGTATTGGCATCTCTCCGATTGGTGTTAAAATACACCCGCACGTGACCTGCTCTGATTAGTGTAGCAAGGTTACACTATCAATACTGTGGTCCACCCTTAAAATCGTCTATCGAAACATGCTATATGGTTCGTCGCCGCTTCACACAGCCAATACAACCATACCATGTTTCTCATGTGGATGCTCACAAATAGGTTAGTAAGTTCCATGTGGTGTGCGAGAGAGAGTGCCGCCGCTTGCAACTTGCGTTAGATCCAGGGTGTATTTCATTAGACGACTTCATGGGTACACCATAGTAGTCAGGTCTGGCCCCAGACCCCTCTGAGTTCATCATGTCCTCCGAAAGAGTCATATGCCCTACGGATTATTTTCCTTGTTTCACAGTAATGGCCTCGTGCCTCCCTAGCCTCGCTCTCTCCTTGTCTTTCCAGCGTCCCTAGGGACTCTACTGCCTCGACTTTAGGGAGAGATTCAATGGCATGATGTAGGCAGGACACTATTGTCTCTATCAACAGCTACCGTACAGAAACTTTATAGCTGAGTGGATATCCTATGCAGGACTGACATGTGAGATGAGATTCTACCCATCTAGTATTTCAAGGGGTACATAAGACCTCGAGAATGAGCAGAGATCCTCAAGACTCGTTACAATGAGCGACCTGCATGTCTTCATCGACCGCCGCTGCTCGTCAACCTCTACCCATGGCTTTCGGCTGGTGTGCCATCGAATGCCTCCTCAAGATCACGCACCTTCAACCTCAAACCCCCCTGGGGTTTTATGGTAACGAATCCGGCGACCTTAATCTTCTGGCCGGGGTCCGCCATCTCAAATCTGAATCTTGTCACCAGCGCGGCCAGGAGACATTTTACTTCTAGCCGCGCGAAGCTCTGCCCGATGCAGCTCCGCGGCCCGTGCAAGAAGGTGAGAAAGGCGTATGGGCTCTCCGCCCCGCCGGCGGCTGCATTGTGCTCCTCAAGCCACCGGTCTGGTTTAAATTCAGCAGCGTCAGCGCCCCAGAGAGCTCGACTCCGGTTGATGGCCCAGGGACTGATTGTGGCAGTGGTGCCTTTCGGGACGGGCACGCCTCCGACGGAAGTGTCGACGACGGCGTGACGAGCTGTAGAGGGCGCCGGAGGGTACAGACGCAGCGTCTCGTTGCAGACGGCCGTCAGGAAGGGCATGTTCTCGGGCTCGAAGGCTGAGGCGCCGACTTCAGCAGTTGCGATGTGCGCCAGGTTCGCGTTGCATTCGGCCCGGAGACGATCTTGGACTTGTGGGTGTTGCGAAAGGAGCATCAGTGCCCATGACAGGGCCGAGGCAACTGTATCGTGGCTAGATCACAAGGCCAGGTAGGCGGATCAGAACGGTGAGACTTGATGGACAAGGAAAAAGGGGGACGGCTTGCTTACCCTGCGGCGAGGAAGGTGAGCATTTGGCTCACGAGGTAGTCGTCCGAGAAATCACCAGCTCGCATGATACTTGCGATGATGTCCTTGATGTCGTGTGCTGATTTCTCTTCACGCAACAGCACCTTCTTTTCCTGCATCAAACTACGAATCTCGTCGTGCAGTTGCGACTGTGCTTCAATCGTTCTCGCGAAGCCCGTTCCCTTCAGCCGCTGCAGCAGCCACCGTGGGAGCAGCATGCTGACCAACAAGAAGAAAGCCGGCGCGTTGGTGACTGACTGATAGAGCTTCGCGAGGAGTGATGTTTCGTTTTCGATGGTGTTGAAGTCCATGCCTACTCCCGCGGCACCGATGATATCCAGCCCCGCGCGAGACACCGGGCCCGTGACGTCCAATACTCCATCCCCAGAGTCTCTCACTAGGCGAGCCATCACGTCCGCGAGCGTGAGACCCTTCGAGTAGAACAGCGGAGTCAGCTCGCGGATATGGCGCCCGGAAAAGGCTGGTGCCACGACCCGTCTCATGGCCTTGTGCTTCGCGCCCTCGACATTGGCCAGTCCCTCGCCCAGGATCCCGGCCAGGACTTTTCTGATAAACGGCGGCTTCTCCCAATCGTAATTGTGCGAGTTGAGCATGTCCATCAGGGTGTCGGGGCGGGTTGGAATGATCTCGCATGACAGGTAGAGCGGCAGCCATACGACGAGAAGACCGTCGTTGGGCGTGCTGTTCACCATGTCTTCCACAATGGTCGTGGGAGGCTGTCCTCCGTTGAAATTCAGGTGACATAGCAGGAACTTCTCCCCTGGTGGCGAGGGGAGTCGACGCAGCGGCGACCTGAAGAAGGGTATGGTGATCCGCGCCACGATATACACCCACACCGCGACGTGTGCCCCGAAATACAGGCGATGGCTGGGCGGGAGAGACACATGGCCAAGGCAATGTCGAGTAGCCAGATACGTCGGCTGGGCAAGCACAATGCTCAGATGTGTGATGACGCCTCGCCAGTAGTGCATGATGGCAATGTTTTGAGACAGTCACTGACTGACCGTGTGTCGGTCCCAGTCCTCCGTACCTGGTCGGTTCAGCTCATCTATTTATTTGGGGGTTGACGATCTCAAACGTCCCGGACATCGGCCATTCTCGCGGCAGGTATTCCCTCAGTCAAGCAGTCGTCTCGGCGCAGAAGCCACAGATGGGTATGACTCGTGGATAGATAGGCACTTTCGCCATTATACCGCAGCCGTGTCGGGATGTGGTTGCCTGGCTACTGTCCAGCCATCTCTCGACCAATACGAGTACGTCGCGGGGAGCACGTCGTACATCTTGCTCGTACTCTCGCCCGGCCCATGACTCAGTGCAATCAAGTACTTACTCAGGTGATACAGTAGCCCGCCGACTCCGGCTAGCTGAAGCAAGCTCGCGCGCATGGGCCACTTTGGGCAATACGGGGCTCTCGTGGCGTCTTCAAGCCTGTCTGCCCAGTGATTCCAGTCGACAGCAACCATGTCAATTGACCAGACACGACCAAACATCGTCGAGGAACAATCACGACCGACGTGGACTCGATACATCTTTGTACAAAGCTGTCAACGCAGCTGCCAATTTCAGAGGCGCCACCCCATATGGCAGCACCCAAGTTCCAGCAAAGCAGCCGGTATATCTACATGAAGTTGGACGCAAAATGGGCCATTCTACACTGTACACGGTTCTCTTACCCATGCCTTTCCTAGAGCACAATGCACGCACGCCAGCTATGCAACTTTTGTCATGAAGAGAGTCCTCTCATGGACTCGTAGCGTCTCCGAACGCCATGCTGATGGTGACATGGCTATCTTTTTCACCCGCACCGGAAACGCCTCCTCTTGTCCATCCCCAAGTAATACAAATCATGAGAAGAAGTAAACGCTGTCCTTCAATCTCTTAACGTCAAAGTCCCCTTTCTGTGGTACAGGCCGGAACTTGATGGGCAACCACAGCCACATCTGCTGGCTCTGGCCCTGTTTGATCTGCTTCTTCGGCTTGCGGACTTTCTGTCCGAAAACATTGATGTCGTGACTGCTGCTGCTGCTGGGATCTGATGCACGGTGATGATCTCCCGCATCGACGGCATCCTCGTCATGATCGTTGGCCACTGAGTCTCTCAGTGGATCCAGCGTGCCGGCCAGATCGATGTCGCTCGCGACCTCGCTAGCGTTTAGAGCCTTATCCAGAACCCCTTCGTCCGCAAACTCGGCGGACTCGGGGACCATACCGATTGCCGTCTCCCCCAGCGAATCTCGAGTGGAGAGATACCGGTCTCCATTGTGCTTCTCATACAGGGTTGCCGCAGTAACCATCTCTTGACCCTCTTGCCTCTCGGCGGGATCCTCACTAGCCATTAGCTTCTTCTTGCGCACTTCCCGCGCAAGCTCGACATGCCGCTGCTGTTGAACAGCTTTTGCGCCACTGCCCTTTGGATACACCCCTGCCTCCACCAGCTCTCTGCGGTAGCTGGCGATAGCCCGGCCGAGCGCATTGTTTCTATTGATTTGAGCAAGGTAATAGTGTCCGTCATACCGTTTGTTGAACTCCGCTGCGAGCCGTCCCACGATATCGTCGCTGTGCATACGAATGAAGGCGTCTCGCAGCAGTACGTTGAGCGTATCAACGTCGGCTGCGTGGGTCCAGAAACTGTCGTGCACGGCTGAAAAGCTTAGACCGACTTCGTTCGCCTTCAGTGCCGACAGGATCATATGCGTGGCGTCAAGGGAGTGGATGAAATTAGGGGGAAACGCCTGCAATTGCTTTCGCTTGTTGACAGAATCTGCCGCACTGGGCTGGGCGAGCATGATGCTCTGTAGATTGGTCCGGATCCTTTGGCCCTTGTTGATGCGATATGGCTGCACGACGGGAAGTTTGAGAGGTGTTGTCCAAATGACGGGCGACCGGAATGTTCCAGACTCTAAGACTTCCTTGCCCTTGGTGTTGGTTCTTCTTGCGCCCGCTGACGCTTTAGCTTCGTGTTTGGACAGGAACACATCTTCGTAGATCTTCTCCTGTTGCGCAGGGGATATGGACGAGCTGATACGGTTCGCACAATCGCCGAGCCAGTACTGGATCTCATGCGCCCCACTAAACAATGCTCCAAGACCCTTGAAGATCTTCCTTGCGATGTATGTGGCCGCCTTACCCGACTGCCCGGCTGCTTCGATCTCGGGAATCAAGGATTCGACTTGCTTGCGAACTTGTCGGATGGCCCCAAGAAATGTGACACCATAGACGTTCGTCATGACGGTCTGTTTCACGACCTTTCTGGTGACCCTCCCATCGAGCGCTTTCGCCAGCTCATCGCCATTGGCGGCGTCTTCTCTGATTTCGGCCTTGACCAACTCACACACTCCGGTGTAGACATCGGCAGGCTTCTCGCCAGGTTCTAGGTTGACCTGTCGCGCCCCAGCAATATCACCACCGAGAGCTGCATAGTGTTGCAAGCCGTTGCAGGAACCATCCTGATGAATTGGTAGTCGGGAAATAAACTTGCCTGGGTCCGGGCTGTCGAGGGCATTCGTGAGTTCGAAACAGGTGGCCAGGCACTGCCAGGGATCCTCTGCCCCGAGCCACCATCGCCGCCCACTCAGCGGGTTCTTCACAGAGTCGTAGATGTCGCTGAGGTGATCCATGGGAAATTGTGCGCGGTCAGACAAGCTGGCTTTGTCATATCCATAGACATTAGACAAGTGAATTTTCAACCACCGCAAACCCTCGGCGCCGAGCTCGCGACCCTTGTCGAACAAGAGGAGTCCACGGCAATTGTCTGCGCCCATCTGATTGAGGTAAGGCGGGATAGGGTATGCCCGTCCACGGAAGTCGATGTTGTGCGGCAAGTAGAACGTCTCGTCCAAGTAAGCTTTGGCAATCTCCATCTGGAAATTCTGAAAACATCGATTCGAATGGAGGCCACTCTTCTCGTTGTCGACTGCTCTCATCTTCGAGAACCATTCCCACCGATCTCTAGGGGAAGCATTTTCGCCCGGGCGATCAATATCAGGGAAGACTTTGTTGAGAGGGGGGAGATTGGCGACCTCTTCTCCGCTGTTCCATGCTTCGAGCATGACCGTGAAGACATTCTTGTTAATGCGCCAGCCCGTCTGGCCAAGGACATCTACACCAGCGAAAAGCTGGTCCAGATCACCCCGGCTGGCGGCGGCGATTGCGTAGTCCTTCTGCGCCGTTTCGTTGTGTTTGATACGCAGAAAAGGTTGCTTGGACTCCAAATAACCTCCATCACGGAAGCTCTTCCAAGGCTTTGGTGGGCATACCATAGGAAGTTGTTTAGCAATCAGATGCTCTGCAGGCTGAGTAACCAATATCTTGACAAAATCTTCGTGCAAGGACACCACTCCAACCCTTTTGCCATTTGAGTAGGCGGTCGAGTGCAGAAACACCGGCTGAGGCATTGAAAGCATCGCCCCAGTCGTAGGGTCCTGCCTGCGTACCGTGATCTTTGCCGTGTCAAACATGAGTTCGCAAAGAACAGCGCCAATCTTGCCGTGTATTGCTTTTGTCCACCCGGGACTGTACATGAAAGGCTTTGCGGCGTGGTGGGACGAGCGTCTGTACAGGTGCGTTTCCATAGATTCAGCAGCTTCAAGGAATGGACCAAGACCCCCTTGGCCCTTAGCGGCTTTTCTGGCTGCTTTATAGAAAGCGCTTTTTCTCTGGTTGGTTGTCGTCGCGTTATATTCGTGTTCGAGGAGTTGTCCAAGCGCAGTGACGAGCTTCACAAGCTTGATCGACTTTGTTGCGCCGAATTTGCTCATTATCTGCATCAAAGCAATCGATGTTATGGCCGCCACGTGCTCAGGCTGGAGGAGCTCGAGAAAGGGTGTACATTCAGCACGAAGCTTCTGTTGTGCGGTTTTTGTCCCTGGCAATAGATCTTCTTCCCTGGCCAGCTTGATTTCGTGCCTGATCTTCTCGGCCAACATCTCATGCCATTGCCAGAGTAGAGCCCCAATTTCGCCGTAAGCAAGATCAGTCGGCATGACACCCATCCTTGCTCTCTTTTGGAACTCGGTTTTCCAGCGGTCGAGGGCAGATTGGATAGCGTCTCTTTCCAATCTGCGCTGTCTTTGCGCGAGATGGTCTTCCGTCGACGTCGAATCAGTCGCGTTCCGAGTCTGCTCGGAGAAGAGAGATAGGGACTGTCGGAGAGAAGACAGGCCCAGTCCTTTCTGCTCTGTTTCTCGGATGTGAGCCTCCTCTTTGTCCGAAGGCTCTGGCAATGCTGATGCATCTGGTCGGAAAGTGATAGTGGTAGACTCTAGTCGCGGAGTGGCAACATCGAGGGTGCAAATTTCTGACAGCCGGCCAAGATCCCGGTCGTCCAGCACCTCTCGCATCCCCAGAACCCTACTTTCCAGGGCGTACCGCTTTGTCATGTCCCAGTAGCGGCGGACGGTGCGGTCTCGCTTTGATCCTATTAGCGTCTCCAATGCCGCCTTCAGTTTCAGGGCAAACGTGTGTGCGTCCGGCTCCAGGTCAGCCTTTCTCATGTGCACTTCAATCCATTCGTTGATCCGTTTCTCGTGTTCGCCATTGCGGTTCCAGATCAGATCATCCACCAGGGCTGCAAGTACGCGGTTGAAGGAATTCCGTAATCGGACGGGATTGTGTTGGCAGAAAAGGCTCAGTTGTGACAGCAGCGCGAACGCCCGGTCCCATCGATGTACTTGTAAGCAGGCGTCCAGTGTCGCCTCAATCTCATCAATGTTCCTTATGGCGCCCCCGTGGGTATCGATGCTATCTTCGGGTAGCTCTGCAGCGTCGAGCATCAGTATCTGGGAGAGGTCGAAGGGCGAAAGATCCGCATTTTGAGGGAGACCCGGATCCCGTGTGAGAGAATGATCGCTGTGCCTGTATGCGAACGGTATGTAATCGTCACCCCGATCGAAGGAGTCAGGAACAGCCGCGGGGGAGGCTAGATGTCTCGACTGGGTGACAGGCGCAGGCAGTGTTTTGGAGCGCGATATCGTGGGTCGGGTCGTTATCGTTCGACGGTGCCGTTCTGATTGATGAGGCTGGGCGAGTACGGGACACAGCCATGGGAGCTGTATCCTTCCTGCTGCCTGTTCAGCATATGAAAGGGCATATCTTGAACTGGCTGTGGCTCGCGTGCGCAGCATTGCACGAAACCTGGGCGAACGAAACCCTCCCAACTGCAGTAGTCCGACTATACGAACGGTTCTATCATTGCAGGACAATATGCAGATGGCAATCGAGCGAAAACAAATCGAAAACGAGACGATGGTACGAGTAGGGTGATAAGGCGAGGATGAACTGAGTGTCAGTGACTGCTATGGCAAAAAATCCATTTCGGCTCAGGAGAGCATTGGCCGCAGTCACGTGCAGCACGAGCTTCAGCCAATCGTGTCAGACTTCGACTTCGAAGCTCAGGCTCCCGCCGCCACCCTCGTAGTATTTTTGTTCTTACCCGACAGGGACCGTTCAGACGCGATGACGACCGCTACTAGAATTGTCAAGGTTGGAATCATAGGTTGTGGCGAAATTACACAGGTCGCGCACATCCCAACCTTGTGCTTTCTTTCCGACCTGTTCACTATCACGTACTTGTGCGATGTCTCGGCGGAGTCCTTGAAGCACAATGCTCAGAAGGTCATTAACCACATCCCCCAGACGACGCAGGACCCTGCCGAGCTTTGTGCCTCGCCCGAAGTCGAACTGGTCTTCATTGCCAGTTCAGATGAATACCATGCAGTCCACGTCATTGAAGCGTTGAGGCACGATAAGCATGTCTTCATCGAGAAGCCGATGGCCTTGTGCATGAGGGATGCGGATGCCATCATTGAGGCCGAGCAGAGATCGAAGGGCAGAGTCATGGTCGGATACATGCGCCGATATGCTGCTGGCTTTCTGGATGCCGTGAAAGAGGTTGGCGGCATGGATAAGATTCTGTATGCTCGAGTTCGAGGTAGGAGATAACAATTGATGTTCAGAGTGCGAGGTCAGAGCGCTGAAGTGAGACCGCGTCAACACAGACATCATCGGCCCAAACAGCCACTTTGTTGCTCAATCTGGCACTTTCCCCAGAGTCTTCACGGATTTTTCACCAGAAGTCGTGAAAGACAAAAATCATAGAGCGTCCGACATAGCACACCAGGCACTGTCAGTCGAATGCGGCCTGGCCGTGACTGCCGAGTCAACGAGGATGTGGCGGCTACTCGGCGGTCTGGGCTCTCACGACTTGTCGGCGATGAGAGAGGCATTGGGAATGCCACAGCGGGCAATTGGTGCCTCTCTCAAGCTGCCATTCTGGAGGTATTTGTGCTCACGCAGAGCTAACTTGGTGACCGTCCGAGAGCTGATGGGCATTGATTTAGTGCTTTGCTGGAGTACCCTACCTTCTCTGTGACGTATGAGTCCGGACTCGACAACGTTCCTCGATTCGATGCTCACATTGAGGCGTACAGCATGACGAAGACTGTACGCGTGAATTACGACACACCCTATATCAAAGGACTACCAGTGACAATGACAATCAGTGAGAACATCGATGGCGTATATAAAGAATCAACCGTTATACGGACATATGAGGATCCATATACCCTTGAGATGAAGGAATTGTACCAGGTGGTGGCGAACGGGAAAGAGGTGAAAACAACAGCCAAAGATGCAAAGAAGGACGTGGAGATATTCCAGATGATAATGAAGGCGGGATCTGGATCACATTCCTAGCTTGAATCTCCACGCGAATGGGTATCATTATCGTCTCAACAGCTCCCCTCGAGATATGCTCAGCATGCCATCCTCGCCTGTGTGCCTAGCATTCCAGGTTGACGGTGGGGGGATTGCAGCGTCATACTTGTCGGCCACCTATTCGGTAGCTGGATTTTTCCGCGGCCGCCCTCTCTTCTTTGGTACCGGAGCTGATGCCAGGAGACTCCTTTTGGTGGCCGGAATAGGGGCTGGCTCTTCCTTGACCTGCACCTCCTCTGTGACCTTCGATTCTGATGTCGTGACTTCATCGGCCAAGTCGTCATCTGTGATTTCGGGACTGCTCAGCTCACTGTCGTCGCTCATATCCATGAACGGGCCAGATGTGCCTGGTGCATTGCCGGCGGCTTCTCGCTGACGTTGTCGCTTTTCAGCCTCTGCTTTCTTCCTACGTGCCCTCTCCCGCTCTCGACCGCGTAGCTTCGACAGGAGGCCTTTCTTCCCATCGTCCCGCGGGGCACTCATCTTATCCAACCAATCCCCATTGCCCAGAGCACTTCGAAGCCTGGGCAAAGGGACACTGTCTGCAGGACCTAGTGAGGTGCACAATGCCGTCCTGGCCTCCTCGTCCTCCTCGTCCACCCATTCGTGGTTCTGCCACTGATCTACCAGGATATCCCGCAGCTGCCGCGCATTGTCTTTCATGGTCCGATCCTTTATATCGTCCTTGTTATCTTTGATTTTGATCTCGATTGCCTTCGATTCCACCTTCGGTGTTGGCGGTTCCATGCCTGGCTTCTGCCTTGAAGCGCCGGGATTAGCGCCAACTTGTGCCCGCTTCTGATTGAGCTCCTCTTCAGCGTCAATGTGATGCAACTGAGGGCGCATCTGCACAATGGCATCCAGGTGGGAGAGCTGAATTTTGTTCTGATGCAAGTAGCCGATTAAATAGATGGGATCGCGGGCGGTTGGCTTGGATATCTTTCCGCCCAATGTCTGAGTCTCCAATACAGGTGCAGGCCCATGTGTTTGATCATGCATAGGGACGTCGCGCAGTCTTGGCTGCACGGCACCTGTGCCAAAGCCGCCAGCCAGCCCATAAGAGCCTCCTGCTTGAATCGTGCGACTGTCTGTCATTGCTCTCCCAAATCTCTGCCCTTGGTTCTCATTGTAGTGTTCATGTGTCAAGATGGGTACGTCAACCTCCACGAAGCCAGCTTCGGGCTTGAGGCGTAGAAAGGTAGGAGCTTGCGATCTGGCGGCATTGTATGGTTTTGACCGGGGGCGGTGGGAGGGGTACTGGAGAAGGTACAAGTTCGACGAGCGTGCCTCGTCTGAAAAGACATTACTAGTCAAGCAGACATCATAGGACGCGACGACAGGATCGTCTTCGTCGGCCATGGTCCGCTAGATTGACTCGGGCAGAAATGCAGGTCCGGGTCAACAACACGAAAAAAGGATCGACAAAGTCGTGACATTCGCAGCTATGACGAACGCCGAGCCTTTCACCACGAGGCTGAAGATGCAAGGCTACCAAAAATCTACGAGGTGTCGGGAGTCGGTGTTCGATGTTCACTCGTCGACAGGAGGTTAATTTGCCACGTTCTGTGGCACGCTGCAATTTCCTTGAGCGACCAAACAGTAAGTCTCAGTGAAAGGAGCAGATCAACCAGATCAATGACATCCACATATTTACCATGACTGGAGCAAGCCGCTCTTCAGCCAAAGAGCTACCTGTCCGCAGCTTTTCCTAGCCTGAAGAAACACTTTACACTCCGGTGAAACAATGTACCGGCAATGGCACTGCAGCGTACTCCATATGCCCTACCTGAACTGAAGACATGGCAGTGTTCAGCGATTCAAAGGTTCAGATGCTTGTTGTCACCCGCATAGCAACCTGGAAGCATTCGGTTTTTCAGCATAGCATGAGAGTGCGGTGACACGAAAATGTCACTCGCGCCTCCCAACCACAAGGTGAGCGACTGATGAGACAATAGTCGACATCGAAGACGTGACATTTTTGCCTTCATTCGGCAATTATGTCTCTGCTATATTCGTTCCAGCCGTCATCTCTGTCGCCGTCACGAACAGTCGGCACGCGATGTCGCAATCGACCATTGACCAATCAGAGCAGCTGTAGAGCGAATGACGAGACCGACAGCCGTAGCAACAAAAATTTCGGAGGCGGATTTTGCAGGCCGACACTGATCGAGGCTCGTGTGGATGCGCGGGAAGGCGGAGAAGCAGCGCAGCAGTGCAGTAATATTTGCGGCATTACTACCTCTCTTCATCTCACGATTTTGACCTTTGCTCTCTCGACTCTTTGAGCTCTCTCTCTGGCGTCGTTCTTCACAAAGACTACAGGCGACATGGGGTCCGTTGCAAGCCCCGCAGAGGCCGGTATGTCCAATGCTCTCCAGAGAATTTCCCCGCGTTAACTCTTCGCATCGGATGAGTTCTTTTGGGGGCCGAACAAGCTAACAGAATTGTGCCCTGACAGTCGCGAGAATCGCCTACCTCGCCAGCGATGTCGTCCTCTCAGTCCAGCCTTCGTTGAGCACAGAATCCGAGTTCTCCTACCATTTCTCCCGGTTCAAAGCGAACGGTTCGAAGAACTTTGTGTCCAAGACCCTACCCGAAATCATCCCTGTTCGACAGAATGCAGACCCGCTTCTGTCGGCGTATACACCCCTTCGAGCCGGCAAGCTGGTGTCAGTCACGACATCCTCGTCCATACTACTGAATTCAGTGCCGCATCTGTACAAGCTTGCTCAATATCCGGTGGTTCTTCATGTGGCCTTGGCCACTCCTCACGCAGACTTCTCAGAAATCAGCTCCATCCGACAATCTGGTTTCACCTTTTTGCAGTCAGAAACCCTTCAAGAGGCGCAAGATATTGCATTATCCGCGCATGCTCTTGCTGTCAGGAGTGGCAAAGGTGTGATTCATTTTTGGGACCCCAGCAACTCTCTTGGGGACAACCCCATAGCGGCCGAAAGTCGGGAAGTAATCCAAGCACTGCTAGAGAACGGGGCTGGCGTGAAGGCTTCTCACTCGGGCGAGGTCGAACAGACACTCTACACTAGCAGTGGAAGGACAGCCACTGTCACTGATCTTGGGTTGCCAGCCGTTGCCGCGCAGGACTCTGCCCCAATCTCTAGCGAGGCTCTGTCACCCGTTACTGCTCCAGTATCGTCCACGAATGGCCACACCGAGATCTCGTCAGCAGCGTCTACGTCTTCACGACGGGACAGCTCCTCTGGTGCGACCGATCCGTCATCAGTCGCAACGTCGGTGGAGACGCCGATTGCCAGGGCTATAAATGCCACGGATATTTTCACGTATGTCAGTGAGATCTGGGCGGCTATCTCACACATAACTGGGCGAAGCTACTCTGCAATCGAATATTCTGGTCCCCCAGATGCCGAGGCCGCTCTTTTCGTGTTCGGGTCGACGGGAGTGTTTGTTGACGTGCTTGATGCCGATGATGTGCCTGTGGAATTGACGAACCTGGGTATCATCACCGCTCGGTTATATCGTCCCTGGCTAGGCAGCGCTGTTCTTCTGGATTCAATTCCCAAGACGATCACCAAGATCGCGGTATTGGAGCAGATTAAGCGAAAGACAACCAAGTGGGGGCCTTCTTTCCTGGACCTGCTCTCCAGCTTGAGTCCTAGCGGCGGGAAGAGTCCCATCTCTCTGGTACAGTATAGGCTCGGTCATATCGACGCATCAACGGCGCTGCAAGCGCTGAAGGGGATTTTCCAGAACTTGGCCCCACCGAGTACACCTCGAAAGCACTCCCGACGTCGTGGCCGATCACAGACGGCGCTGCTTTCCATTCAGAACTTGACTATCGGCAACGAGGTCGAACCTGTCATCGATAATTTCACCCTCGAACAGCCCGAGCTAGAAAACGCCTACCTCAAGATCCTTGATCAACTGTTCAGCAACAGACTCTACATTGCAAATCGACTCAGTGAGAAGAATGCCGGTGTCTCTGCTACCGTGGCAGCGTCGCCTGAGTATGGGTTTGGGTCTCTCCTTGCCCGAACTGAGCGGCGCCAGCAGTTCATACGGGAGGCGGAGGAAGCCGCTCGCAGTAACCAATTCATTACCGAAGCACCCAAGCAATGGCTATCAAGATGGGTATTAAACGCCAACGACACTTCAAAGGCTAACGAATACGCCCCGGAAGTGATTGCTCGCTTGTCCAATGATGGCACGAGGCTAGCTGGGTCGCTGTTGGACAAGAAAGCCTTTTTCTTCAAAGAGGCGCAGTGGCTTATCGGATCTGATGCCTGGGCCTACGATCTAGGCAATTCCGGTGTTCACCACGTTCTGGCATCGGGCGCGAATGTCAACATGCTCATCATTGACTCTGAGCCGTACTCCGAAAGGACCGCAGCAGATTCCATGAGACGCAAGAAAGACATCGGTCTCTACGCCATGAACTTCGGCAATGCCTACGTCGCCTCCGTTGCAGTGTATAGTTCTTACACGCAAGTGTTGCAAGCTTTCATTGAGGCCGAGAAGTTCAATGGTCCCTCAATAGTCTTGGCTTATCTGCCCTACCAGAAGGAAAGTGACTCTCCACTATCAGTCTTGCAAGACACCAAAAAGGCGGTTGACATGGGTTATTGGCCATTGTACCGCTGGGATCCATCCAACGAAGGCAACGGAGAGCCTACCTTCTCCCTCGATTCTGAAAGGATCAAGCGGGAACTGGAGGAGTTCCTTCGCCGAGACAACCAATTGACCCAAGTCATGAACCGCCATCCACAATTCGCTGCAAGCCTCTCAGAGTCATATGGCTCCGAAGTGCGCAAGCTGCAGAAACGTAAGGCTAAGGATGCTTACGAGCAGATGCTTGAGGGTCTGTATGGGGCGCCGTTGACAATTTTGTTCGCTTCGGATAATGGCAATGCGGAGAATCTAGCTAAGAGGCTAGGTAACCGTGGAAAGGCGCGAGGTTTGAAGACGATGGTGTTCGCCATGGACGACTACCCCTTGGAGGATTTGCCGAATGAAGAAAACGTCGTCTTCATCACCAGCACGGCTGGCCAGGGTGAATTTCCACAGAATGGCCATGCTTTCTGGAAGGCCATCAAGGATTCGACAGATCTTGATCTGTCCAATACCCATTATTCGGTTTTCGCCCTCGGAGACAGCCATTACTGGCCCCGCAAAGAAGACAAGATTTTCTACAATAAGCCTGGAAAGGACCTAGACGCCCAATTGAAGTTTTTGGGAGGGAAGGAACTGACTGCGATCGGCCTGGGTGACGATCAGGACCCCGACGGGTTCCAGACCGGTTATCAGGAGTGGGAGCCTCGGCTCTGGCAAGCATTGAATGTCGCCAATGTCGAAGGCCTGCCAGAAGAGCCTCCGCCATTGACTAACGAAGACATCAAAATTGCGTCCAACTATCTTCGAGGCACCATTGCTGAAGGACTCGAAGACACATCAACCGGCGCCATCTCCGCATCGGACCAGCAACTCACCAAGTTTCATGGCACATACATGCAAGATGACCGTGACTTGCGGGATGAACGCAAAGCACAGGGTCTTGAGCCAGCCTATTCGTTCATGATCAGATGTCGACTGCCGGGCGGTGTTGCTACTCCGTCGCAATGGCAGCAAATGGACGCCATCGCATCGGCTCACGGCAACGAGACCATGAAGCTCACCACAAGACAGACCTTCCAATTCCATGGAGTTATCAAGTCAAAACTCCGACCAGCTATGCGAGCCATCAACAAAGCACTCATGACCACCATCGCAGCATGCGGGGACGTCAACAGAAATGTCATGTGCTCCAGCCTTCCCACCATGTCCGAGTACCACCATGAGGTCCACGCTGTCTCGAAGAGGATTTCCGATCACCTTCTGCCCTCAACCACGGCGTATCACGAAATCTGGCTCAAGGACAGCACCACCGGTGAGAAGACCCAAGTTGCTGGTGACGCTGTGCAAGACTTTGAACCCCTCTACGGCCCGACCTACTTGCCTCGAAAGTTCAAGATCTCCATCGCTATCCCTCCTCACAATGACACAGATGTGTATGCCCACGACATTGGTCTGATCGCCATTCGCACCAAGGACAACAAGCACCTCGAGGGCTTTAACGTGCTTGCTGGAGGAGGCATGGGCGTAACGCACAACAACAAGAAGACGTACCCCCGCCTGGGCTATATGATGGGATACGTCCCTGCCGACAAAGTGCACCTCGCGTGTGAGAAGATCATGCTCGTCCAACGCGACCACGGCGATAGGAAAAACCGCAAGCACGCGCGGCTGAAGTACACCATGGACGATATGGGTAACGAAGTCTTCAAAGCGAAGGTCCAAGACCTGCTGGACCCACTGAAGATCAAATTCGAAGCGCCCCGACCCTTCAAATTCGATTCCAACATCGACACCTTCGGCTGGACAAAGGACGAGCATGGCCTCAACCACTTCACATTCTTCATCGAGAACGGTCGCGTTGAAGACACAGCTGAGTTCCCCATGCGTACCGGCCTGCGCGAAATCGCAAAGATACACCAAGGCGAGTTCCGCCTGACGGGAAATCAACATCTGACGCTCTCAAACGTGACAGACGAAGCGAAACCCCAAATCGCAGAGCTCATGAAGAAGTACAAGCTGGACAACACCCAGTTTTCAGGCCTGAGACTCTCGTCCTCGGCCTGCGTGGCCTTCCCGACTTGCGGTCTCGCCATGGCAGAATCGGAGCGCTATCTCCCGGAATTGATCACGAAGCTCGAGTCGTGTCTGGAAGAGAACGGCCTGGCGCAGGACAGCATCGTCATGCGCATGACGGGATGTCCTAACGGATGCGCTCGCCCCTGGGTCGCCGAAGCAGCATTTGTGGGCAAAGCCTACGGTGCCTACAACATGTACCTTGGTGGCGGGTATCACGGGCAGAGGCTGAACAAGCTCTACAGGAGCAGTATAAAGGAGGACGAGATCCTGGAGATCATGAGGGGCTTGCTGGCTCGGTATTCGAAGGAGCGGAACGCTGGCGAGAGGTTTGGAGACTGGACCATCCGGGCGGGAGTCATCAATGAGACGACCGAGGGGAAGAACTTCCACGAGAACACGGCCGAGGAGGAGAGCGATGGGGAGTAGGCACAAGGGTGAGATGATGCGTCGTCGTGTCGGACGATCGAACCTTGTCTGAAGGACTCTGGTAAAATGGCTTCGGTTGTCGCATTGTCAGTGTTTGACCGCGGAATCTACCATGGCTGGCTGGGGACGCCGGCATGCCTCCCCTCCTCTCTCTGACTCTTGTATATATCAAGTTCTGTTTTTGCATAGCATGGCCTGAATCTCAAAAATCCGGTTTTTATCAATCATGTCGTGGTGGTTCCTCATGTCCTACGTGGTGGAGCGTAATCCTAAACTCATCTCTACATCGTTGTGGTTACTGTACTCGTACCTAGCCCTCAGCTCCGTGTTCCTTACCTACATGCCTACCGTCTACGTATCTGATGATAGGATCATGCCTTCTGAAAACACATAACGCCATACCGAAAGCTCCCGTCGGCGTACCCGCGTCTCATCGCCCGGAACGCCTGCAGAAAGGCCAGTCCATCCCTTCCCTGGCTGATGGCGAAGGCCCACAAACTCGGACTACTCACCAGCTGCCAGCTGATATCCCACGTCCTGGCCACTTGGGCCGAGATGTCCCTGGGCGGATGGAAGACGGTCAACCCCGCCGCCTCGGCCATCGAGACATAGTCCCCCATGCAGGACAGCGGAGGGAGCAACATGCCGTCCTCGATGGGTTTGATGTCGCGCTCGCGCAGCTCGGGCGTGAGATCCGCGTCCTTGAACCAGTCGGCTATGACGAGTTTACCCGTCGTCGGTTTGAGCACCCGGGCGGCGTTGCGGAAGAAGAGAGCCTTATCGGGTAGGTGGGAGAGGGCTTCGGAGATCCAGACGACGTCAAAGGATGACGGGGGGAAGTGCTGGTCCATGGTTTCGGCGTCGAGTTCGAGATATTGGACTTTACCGCCCAGCTTGCCTAGGGCGTGAAATCCAGGAGAGGGAGGGGAGGAGGTCGCTGGCTCTGATGATGCAAATGGCGCTGACGGTGGGCCTTCGGGCTTGCGGTCTTGATCTTGATCTTGATCTTTAGTGGTTTCCTCCTGTGTAAGCCGGTTCGCGATCTGGACTTGGCGCCCGCTGATGGTGATGCCGGTTACGGTGCATCCTTTTCGGCGGGCCAGATGGCGGGTTGTGCCGCCTATGCCGCAGCCAACGTCGAGCACCGTGGAGTTGGGTGACAGCTGGGAGATCTCCAGGAGGAGGTCGATCAGGTTGACTTGGGCTGCCTCTTTGGTTTCGTTGGCGTCGAGGAAGTAGCCGTGGTGGATGTGTTGGCCCCTGAAGGGTATCAGATCAGGGAAATGGACAACTGGGCTTTTACGCCCTTTGGGGTGCTATTGTCCGCTGCAAAGGGTTGGCGGAATGGGGATAGTACTGGTACTTACCACAGGGAGTAGTAGTAGTCGGAGGCGAGCTCATAGTGGTGCCGGATCCTTTGCTTCAGGCTGTCGAACGATGAATGTGGCTCGAAAGCTGGCACTTCGTACTTGTCCCCGACGTGTTCGGTAGCGGGATTGCTGCTTGCTGTCTCGCTGGGGTCGCCCATTGGTTCTAGAGAGCGATGTATGATTTGAGCAGTTAGAAGTGAACTCGGCACGGGAGGTCTGGAGGCGGTAGCTACTGGAGCTTAGGAAAGCTCACACTTGTTGTGGTGGGCAAGATTGAGACATGTCAGACGCTGAATTTCCCTAAGAAGCCCACAAGGCCGGCGAGGGAGTGGATGTAAAGCCTGCGCGTGAAGGCTCAGAAATCGCAAGCAGCCGTCAGACACAGCAGCTGGTGTCTCCACCAAGGGCGCTTCGTCAGTACCTGAAATCATGATGCAGCTCACCGTCATGTTTCTGCAAGGGCAGTCGGTTGGGGATCCGATTTGTGCCTTCTCAGCCCCAAGTCTCCTTGGATGAAAAGGATTTCCCGTGTCGTATGTTTCGACTTCCGTGGCCCGATTTTGTTGGGCGGCCGAATCCGTGATAGCAACGCATCTAGGGCGCGCAAGATCGGCCATTCGTGCATGCGCTTGTCTCGAAGATAGATGGCCTGATCCGGACAGAAGCGGTGAAAAGAGACTGACTTCCCCACGAACAGCGAGTTGAGGGCAGGACGCACATATCACCAACAACATCTCTCTTGCATTCTATGAGGCCGAACGTGGGAGATTCTGTCTGTGAGTGACAATCATCGGCGACAAATACACCCAAGCTTCAGCACCGAGTCACTGAATGCATCATGGATGACTCTTGCGCAACTAATCCTCACCACGAAACCCTCGCCAACGGCACTTCGACATCAGATCGAAAGCATCCATCCTCAGCCACCAAGCTCGCACCCTCAGAGACACCACCTCAGCCAACGGCGCTCCAACAACACGTCTCGTTCTGGGACAGGGACAATGATGGTATTATCCACCCGTGGGACGTCTATACCGGGTTTCGCGAACTTGGCTTCAACATCCCCTTCTCCATCGGCTCCCTTCTAATCCCAATCTTCTTCTCGTACCCGACGAGCTTGGCTTATAGCTGGTTCCCGGACCCGTTGCTCCGAATCTACGTGGACAGCGGGCACAAAGCCAAGCACGGATCCGACACTGGGGTGTTCGATGTTGATGGTCATTTCCACGCCGACAGGTTCGATGCCATGTTTGAACGGTGGGACGCTGATCGATGTGGCGGACTGAGTGCCGACCAGATGTGGGCCATGTGGAAGAAGAACCGTCTTGCAGCCGATGTGGCGGGCTGGTGTTTCGCCTTTATGGAGCTGTGGACCACGTGGTTGTTATTGCAAAAGGACGGAAGGGTATGGAAGGAGGACCTGAGGGCGTGCTACGACGGGACGCTGTTCTGGAAGATTAGCGAGCTGGTGCAAAAGGGGGAATGGGATCAGGGCTACGGCATCCGGGATTTCTTTGATGGGATGCTTAAAGGTGGCACTTGGAGGAACTGGGAGCTCAAGGATCGAGGCGATGGCAATACGAGGAGTAGCAATAGCCCCCCTAAAAAGAAGTAGACGAGGAGGTGATCAACTTGGAGGCAGTGTCGATTAGTGAGGGCATCCTTGTCTGGCCTGAGCAGCACAGTCTTCTTTCCATCGTCAGTTCTTGCCAGCGATGCCCAAGCAATCCATGAAGGGATTTAGCTACCTACCCAGGTACCATTCTGCAACACAAGCCATGACGCAGGAAATCAACAGATCGAGTCGGGTAGATGTCCTGTCCGCTGGTACTCTTCCGCTCCTCACTCGCTTTATTCTTTCTCACGGCCAAGACCTGCTTATGTCATCCGGTAGAGGCAGAAACACTCACTTCACACTTCACCCTCTCCTCACACTCACCTTAGTCTCACTCACTCACATCTCCCTTCCCAAAACACGCAATGTGATGAGGACATACTCGACAACGCATACGATGGAGGCGGTCAGACTGCGGTGGAATATGAATTTCGTGCAGCCGATACAGCCTAGTTGTCATTTCTTCTTCCCTTGTCTGGCGCCGACATGTCTCGGCCCCGCGCTTCTCATGCGTGTCGCGAATGTCGTCGTAAAAAGTTGCGCTGCGATCTGGCCAGGCCTTCTTGCACACGATGTGCCTCGTCGGGATCACCATGCGTCTACGGCGCCGGAAGCAGTGGCAGTCGCGACTTTCAATTCGTGCAGACCACCTTTCACGGAAGTCGGGGTGAATCTTCTGGCGCAGGCAGCTTAGCAGCAACAGAAGAGGTGGCGCTCTCCACAACTCGGTTGCGGACCCTCGAGGAGAAACTGGAGAACCTCACCGCACAAGTTCAAGCACTGCAAGGCAGAAATTCAATGCCGTCCTTGATTGCTGCTGCCGGCGAACCGTCCGCTGACGTGGCCAACGACACGATGAAGCGCGTACGCACAACTGAAAGCGCTGCTTCTGCCGAAGCGATGCGGGAATCTGGAGCGGGACACCTACTGGTTCAACCGGGTGGCAGGCTCCGCTATGTCTCGCGCGGACACTGGGCTGCAATGTGCGAAGAAGCCGGCGAGATTGAAATGCTTCTCCGAGGCCAGACGCGTTATGATCTTCCTGTCGCTGAGAGACAGACTCGATCTCTATACGATGGCGAGGTTGTCTCAGCGCCAGCAGCTTGGGATAAGTCGCAGCGTGTCTCGTCCAAATCTCGCCAATCCTCGCCCCTCCACACACTGCAGATTCTTGATCGATCTCGGGCTGATGCCCTCTTTGACGCATATATCTCGTGCTTTCACCCTGTGGTACCCCTGGCACACATTCCCACTCTTCAGAGGGACTATGAACGGGTCTGGGATCTGCAACGTTCGGGTGGCGCTCCCAACACCATACAAACCATGCCACTGATCCTCGCAGCACTGTACGCTGGAGCTGTAGTCTACCACCATCCGTCGCTTCAAAATACCCGACCAGACACTGACATTGAGCGTGTGGCCACGGAGATTCACCACGAGGCCACCGCCGCCCTGCACCTTGCACATTTTCCGAGGGTCCCAACCGTTGCAGGCTTGGCAGCTCACTTGATCCTACAAGGCATGTGGATGAGGGACGAAGAGCCACTCTCAGCATCTGGCGATTTTGGTGTCGCAGTCCGCGTGGCTCAGATGCTCGGTTTACACAAGGACCCGTCACGCTTCAAGACCACTGTGGCACCAGTCCAAGCCGAAGTCCAACGGCGCGTGTGGTGGCACGTTTTCCACTGCGACGTTCTTGTCGCTGTGGCTTCTGGCCTTCCCCCGCTGATTGAACGGAGCTCTTGGGACACCAAGATGGTCAGCGACCTCTACGAAGACCGATTTGGAACCATGGAAGGGCTCCAGCACGACGAAGAATCTCGGGCACGCTATCTTCAAGGTGAAACCGGTCCAGATGCATCGCCACTCGCATCGCCGCTGGGCATTTGGTTGCAAGGCAAATTCCAAGACGCATGTAAGTTTGTCATGTCGTGGGTGTGTTTCTCATGCTGATAGCCGGGCTTCAGTATCAGTACGCAAGCTGTTGGACAAAGCTTTCCACGAGGATCAAATGACTATAGACGATATGGTATCAGCTCGGAATGATCTGCAGCTGCTCCGACGACAGTTGCGAGCCCGGTCCCAGCTGATCCCGATCGACAGCTCCAATAATACTTACGAAGACAACCCTCAATTCAATATGTGGGCCAAAGTGCTACTCACCACGCTAGGTGATAAGAACTGGTGGTTCCTGCACACTCCTCTCCTCCATCGCTCCATCACCCAAGCCTGGCAGAGCTTAATTCCCAAGTAAGCTGACCTCCTTAGCCACTCCCTGTCCGCAGTACATGAAGTTAGCTGACAGAAACTTCGTGGAATTAGCCTTCAGCTGTATTGTTGTGCCTTCCTCGAGCAATACATTATCCTCTGTTGCGCCCAGGATTTCATCCGCTTTCATTGGTCCTGGCCGGGCAACCATCAACCACTGCACGCTCTCATGTTAGTGTTGAAGGAGGTTGAACGCAACCCCGCCGGCGCAGAGGTGGAGATCTCTTGCACGGTCATCGACCAGACCATGGCGCTCTGTGCGCCAGAAGGCGGTATCACAGCGAGTGGCAATGGAGCCATGATGCACCGTCCACTCAATGAAGGGGGCGCCGAAGCATGGGACCTCATCCGCCGCTTGCGCGCAAGGGTGTGGACCAAGATCGGCCGCGATCCTGAGGTCATCCTCACACGGGACGATGTGGAATCGATTGTGGCACAAAAGCTGCAAGCCTTCAAAGCTTCTGGTGGCATCCTGGACCTGCGAACACCTCTCCCCAGCGATGTGACTGGCCAATTTGAGCAGCAGCCTATGGCCCAACCTGCCACTTCTCTCCACTCAGGGACATCCTCGTTCACAACTCCTCTGCCAGACGTAGCAGGAGACCCTGGTCAGTTCGACCAATATACGTTTGGCCTCGGTGGTGGCAGGCCGACCCCGAACATCAATTGGGACGACTGGGATCAAGTGTTCAACACTGGCTACGACTGAGATGGATGAGCTCTCGATCAGATCCTGCTGCCATTACGAAAAAAGATGTCCGACATCATGACGAGATGGAGCTGGAGCTGGAGTCCACTGCCCGTGGCAGGATGGCTCAGAGCGAAACCCTGCAGTCCCTCCCCCCCGGGGCAGGGGTGGGCAATCCCAGTGTATAGAGCCGACCTCGCCACTGTTGGTGGGTCGTGTCCTGACGACTTCCCGTGGACTACGTACCACGTTACGTTACAGAGCAAGCGTCACGTCTATTTTGGGCTAGCGAAATGCCTTGGGTCATCTTTGACGGCGGCTCGACAAGCTCCCCCCTCCTACGTCGCGGCGGCTGTTCTCAAGCGTGTTAGAGCTTGTACGATTCGCCCTGTGGTCTTCCTCATGTCCATGTGATGGGCTTGGTACAGCACCCAGCATGTCCGGGTTTCGTCGAGGTGAGCTTTTTCACCACGTAATAATGCATCCCACAAGGGAATCAGATTATGGATAGATCTGTCCCACTCCCGCTCTCATGCGCACGCAGAGCTAAGGCCGGGGGTGGTGGGGGGGTGCTCGAGCAGGATTGCATATACGCTGCGTTTTCCTGGAGTATTGCACACGAGTACGGGAGGGCCCTTGGCTCGATGGCTCTGGCCGCATATGATGGTCCAAGCTATGTATGTACCCGATGGCAGAATGAATGATAAATTACTCTATGAGTGGTGTCCCAACTGTCAGTCTTTCACGCGGCAGCGGCCTTTTTCGCCTCATTTTCAACGTCATACAGGAAGAAGAAATCGTTGTACTCGTTCGAAAACGTCTTTGCCTTTGGCCCAGGGATATCCCCGCCGTAATAGCGCTTGATCTCGGCAATCATCTTGTCCGGCGGGCCCATCATCCTGTTGGACATGGTCTGCACGGCACTGACGCGCGGGATGCGAAGCCGATCAAACACTTGCAGCTTCGAGGCCACCTCCGCCGCGGACTCGACGCCCGTGAACAGCACCTGCAGCGCCATGGCGTCTTCCAGGGCCATGGACGCGCCCTGGCCGTGGGTCGGCAGCATCAGGTGGGCAGCGTCGCCGACCAGCACGGCACGGCCCTTGGCGAACCGCTCGATCGGGTCGCGCCACATCTGCGTGTAGACCTTGATGTCGGTGGCGTCGTCGCACACGGCCTGCACGGCCGGGTGGAAGTCCTTTGCGTCGGCCAGGAAATTGTCCACGTCCGCGGGCGAGTCCCACCCCACGAGGCCCTTCTCGGCGGGTTTGGTCGGGTGCACGAGCGCGACGTACAGCAGGTCGCCGCCGCGACAGGGGTACGTGTTGATCAGGAGGCCCGGGCGGCCCACCTCGGTCTTGTAAAAGGTCGTGAACCCCGGTGGGCGGTCCTGGTAGAATTGTCCGGCGTCCGGGTGCGCCAGGATCCGGTCCATGGGCTGCAGGAAGCGGTACATGGACATCGGGGACTTGTTGACGGGACACGGCCGACCCAGCACTTTGGCGACGAGTTCGCTGTGCGCGCCGTCGGCGATGACGACGAGATCCTTGGTGACGGTCTCGCCTGTGGCGAATGTGACGATGCCGCGCTCGACGTCCACGTCCGTGACCTCGACGCCGAGATTGATTTCCGGGCGTCGCGATGAATCCGCCGCGCCAGTGGTGGCCAGCGCTTTCAGCCCCGCGTGCAGGTCGGCCCGGTGGAAGAGCAGCCAGCGATCGCCGTACTTGGTCTTGATGTCGGTGAAGAACTCCTCCGAGTCGAGCGCGAGCGTGTCGCCTCTCAGCCGGCGCATCTCGCTGAAATCCAGGGCGCCGGCGCCGTCGTAGTCGAAGCCCCATTTCGAGAGGATCCGGCTGCCGTTGGGGCCGATGACGATCGCCGCGCCCGTCTCGTTGCGGAACTTTGACTTCTCGTATACACTGACCGAGTGGCCGGCGTGGGAGAGGGCGATGGCGGCGCCGAGCCCAGCAATGCCTGCTCCGACGATGCCGACTTCCAATTGGCGGGGTGGCATTGTGAAAAGGTGTACGGAGTACGGAGTACGGAGCAACAAAGAGGACTATACAGTGGTACCGTGGGAGACTGTGTGGGATGAGCAGTTACGGTGGAAAATCTGGCTGGCTCAGGTCTCAATGTTTGATCCAGATCTCATGTTGTTCACCCGGTAGTTCATCTCAATGAGGCTTAGATGGAGGTTCTGCACAGGCCGGGTCGTCTACAGTACTGCGTGTGTAGCTGGTAAGACGAAGGTGAGGGCTGGGTCTGTTGCATATCGTAGTCCGTGCTGGCACCTAGTAAGCAGTGGGCAGTCGTCTCGTGGCAGGATCTCCCGCCTCCTCAATTGGGAATTGTTCGGCTTCCATCTGAGATCTCCGAACCGAATAACATCTGCGCGGCGGTCGTAAGCAGCCCTAAGCGGGCTTAGGCGGGCCTAAGTAGCCATAAGCGGCCCCTAAGCTGCCCGAAGCGGCCCTAGAAGCCTTATGGGCAATCCAGCCCAGCAAAGTTTGAAGGATCGATTTAGTTAAAGTAGCAGCAGCGATCCCAACTTTCCTGACTCCGCACTGTTTAGTCCTCGTACGTCACCAGGAGAAATGCTGTCTCGCACGAGGTGTGAACCTCAGCGCCACGCAACAGCACGGTTCACGCGTTGCAAAGACATTTCCTCAGAGTGCCGCCCAAATGCTCCAGCCTACCTCGTATTGTATCCGCCTAACCCAGCACGCCGGTGGCCTAACGCCACTGTTATCCGGTGCTGAAGGTATCCTCAATGGGGTAGTAGGTTCTACGACGCGTACCGGGTACGAGGTACAAACGAAAGTGCCGCCGCCTGAAGGTCGCGTTCTAGTATGGAGTGTTTCGTGACGCCATACAGCAGGAGGCCGTAGTGTACGCAGTACGGAATACATTACACAATATCCCGTACCGAGGAACGTACAGGAGGTAACTGGACCTACCTGCACTACTCGTCCAGGTACTGTGTACAAACTGCTCAAGGCTACAGTACTGTACCACGCTTTCTTCCTCCACGCCATCTCCTGTATCGGGTTCGTGTGTCACCATCCTCTTCTAGCCGGCAACAGCGATCTCTTGCCTCACGCCGAACACGTTCATACAACGATAGACAGACCAGACTACTCCTACACACCTACATTACAACAGTAACACCTTCAGCCACACACACACACTCACACAGGGGCTCACCACAATGTCCTCCTCACCATCCATGTCTCCCTCCCTCTCCTCCGCCGTCCTCCCGTCCCGTGTCCTCCTCTCCGTGCTCGGCCTCGCCTCGGCCGCGGGCGGCTACCTGGCCGACTGGAACGAAACGCACGTCTTCAACCCTCGCTGGACGGCCCACGCCAAGTTCCACAACGGCCAGACCATGTCCACGGGTCTCGGCCTGGGCTTGCTCACATGGTACTACACCTGGCGCGGCACCAACGCCGGCACGCCCACGGGACTGCTGGACAACCTCCTCACCGCGACGCTGCTGAGCAGTCTGTACTGGGCCACGCAGCTGAGCGCCATCCTCTACCCGGGCACCAAGTGGGTGGATGATGAGTTCAAGGAGAGTCACGGCGAGCCGCAGAAGAGGGGGGCCCCCGTGCTGTTGGGTCTCAGTTGGGCGGCTTTTGGGTTGGGCTGGTATCGGCTTACGAAGTGAGTGAGTGAGCGATTTGCTGGAGCGAGCGAGCGAGCGAAGGAGTGAAAGTACGAAAGAGCGAAAGAGCGTGGAAGGATAGATGGACGGATACGTAGGAGAAGATCATGCTCAATGAAAGGGAATACCAAGGGGTGGGAATCCCGAGAGTGAGTGAGTGGCTGGCTCACGCGTTGTTCTGTGCGGATAGGATGGGATGGGATGGGATGGGACGCATCTTCAACGCATTTACCTACGCGCCTATCTACCTACCTGCCTACCTAGCCTGTATTATATCGGTCCCGTTGGACTGCAAAGACACGCATTCGATCCAGTGTCGGGGCAACTCGGTCCAAGACAGACGAATCCCAGCCGTACTCCCTTCTACTGTATGCAGGTTCTTAGATGACAACGTCCGGAGTCCACAGTGTTTGACCGTTTCAAATCCTACACAGGAAAGACTGCGTAACTCTGCTTTTCCACGCCGCAGATCAAGTCGACGATTTGACCCGAAGATTCCTTCCCTAGCTAGAACAGTCTTGACACTTGGCCCACAGACGCCGTCACCGGACGCTACCTTGCGATATACCTACCTACCTCCCTCCCTCCCTTTTCTTCCACGGTTAATAAGCCTTGTTGTTCTCGGCTTCTCGTCCCCTCGGCGTCGGCTCACCATGTCGGGCAAACATCCTCCTCAGGCCCGTGACCACGAGATCCACCGCCCTGGCTGGGCCTTTGGCCAAGTTCGAGAGGCTGACTCGTCGGACGCGGAACAGGTAATATAGCGTGATGCAGGCGAAGATCTGGCCGAACGTTAGGACGTGGGGTGTTCGCGCTGGATGAAGTAGAAGAAGGAGATGCAGGAGAAAAGGAAAAAAGGAGTCAAAGCCAACACAGCACAGCACAACACAGCACAACACAGCACTTACATTGAAAATGATGTAGGCAAAGCCGATCCCAAAGTTGCGCCACCTGTCGCTCGCGTAAATGTTGCTTCCCGCGAGGAATTGATCCGCCGACGTGAGCGGGCAGTACTGGCATTGACTCGTCGCCGCCGGGTTGTACAATTGGCCGGGGGCTCCACCTTGGAGATACCTCGCGAGGTACGCTCCGCAGGTCTGGCCTGAAGGGGGATCGAAGTTGGCGAGCTCGTTGTCTGCGCATTGGACCCTCCGGCCACGCAAGCCTGTCGAGGCCCACCCGGCGACCAGGTATGTCATGGGGGAGACGCGGTCTGGGAATGAATCGTCAGTATTCCGACGCGGGCGAAATCGCCGAGCAACTTGTACTCACACATGAAAATCCAAAACCCAGGTAGTGCTGTCGGGCTTTGCAAAACGCCGTTGAACGTGAGCATCATGCTGAAGAGCAGGGTTGCGATATTGCCGGCCGTTTCGGCGTCGGGCATTGCCGCGATGATCATGTGCGCAAAGGTCGAAGTGAACACCAGGAACTGGATGACGAACAGCAGCATGAGGGCCCTGGTCTCGTTGTCTTGGTTCTTGCCGAAGATGGCAAAGTACCAGGACACCCACATCAGGATGGCCAGGACGATTTGGTACGGAATCTCGACGGAGATGTTGGCGACGAGGAAGGCGACCCACGAGTAGGCTTTGGAGGGCCGTTCGCGCACCTCGTACAGAGAGCGTTGGATTACGAACCGGGGCATGATCTGCTGGACGAGTGTAGAGAAGATGCTGTCGTTGTTAGGTACGCTCATTCAACGATTGGAGGAGCGTGGACATTTCGACTTACGTGACCAGCATGAAGATGCCAAAGATGGTGTTCTGCAGCCCGGTTGAGGTGGAATTCTGCTTGTAGAACGAGAAACCGATGAACAATGCCGACATGATGCCCAGGAGAAATCTGCCGTTGTGTTAGTGATCCTTCCTCGGTAGCAGAAGCGGAATCATGTCTCACTTTCCACTGATATACGATGGCGTCCTCCAATATTGCTGGAATACTCGCTGGGTGACATAGTACATCTGCGAGGTCAAGGGCATGGCAAACTCCGACGGGTTGGAACTGTCCGCCGCAGGCTCTGATCTCTTCGTTTCGTGGATCCGGTCCAGCTCTGCCTGCACCTCTTTGGCTTCTGGCGACGCCTTCCAGACCTCACTCCAGTCGCGGTCTGCTTTCTTGCCGCAAATGTCGAGCATATACTCGGCAGGGTTGGCTTCATCGGGACATCGAGCAGCACCGTTCATCTCGAAATAGTCGAGCAGGGTCCGTGAGTTCTGCCCGATGTCGCCAAAGTATATGGTCTTACCGCCTCTCATCAGAAAAAGCAATCTGTCAAACGACTGGAAGAGTATGGCCGACGGTTGGTGAATGGTACACAGGATTGCTTGGCCAGAATCTGCGAGTTTCCGGAGGAATGCGACAATCGACCATGAGCTCTGGGAGTCAAGACCTGAAGTGGGCTCGTCGAGGAAGATGAGAAGCGCCGGTTTTGCTGCAAGTTCAACGCCAATAGTAAGCAGCTTGCGCTGTTCAACATTGAGGCCTTCGCCCGGATTGCCAACGATAGCTTCCGCAAAATCTTCCATGCTGAGCATTTTGATGACTTCTTCGACAAACTCGTCCTTTTCTTGCCGTGGAACAGATTTTGGCTGCCGGAGGTAAGCTGAGAAGCGAAGAGCCTCTCTGACGGTCGTCGTTTCCAGATGGAGATCTTGTTGCTGCACGTAGCCGGTCTTGCGCTGAAAAGACGGATCAAGAGGCTTGCCGTTCACTAACTGCGATCGAGTTAGGACCGGACTTCAGAACAGGTATGACAAGTGGAAAAGGACTGGATGGCTTACCATATCACCTGTCAAGACACCAATATTAGTTCTCTGCGCCAGGGCATCAAGCAGAGTAGTCTTGCCGGCACCTGATGTCCCCATCAGCGCCGTCAATGTGCCTGGTTTGACCCATCCAGAAATGCCGTCGAGTAGTCTCCGAGGTTCGCCCTTAATTTTGATGTCGAGTGTCACATTGCGCCAGGTAAAGATGTCCTTCTGTGCAGGTAGCGCCTTGACCTCTTCGGCTTGCTTCTCCTCGACTGGGTCGTCTGAGCTGATGCTTTTCTCGTTGGTTTGCGGTCGCTCTTCGTCTTTCCTGCCTTGCTGGAGGTATGCTGGGACATGGCCTCGTCGGAAAACCAAGAATTCAGCTGTGGACGTTGTGTCGGAGTTGATCTCAGTGGCGACGAAGTAGATCGCGAAGAAGAAGATCATAAAGGCGAACAGGAAGCCCAGGTTGCGCCAAATATGGCTGTAGGAGTACCCATAAGAAGAATTAACCCACCGGTCACCTGAGACAGTAGTCTGACCAGCTACAGCTCCGGCGACAGCACATTGGAAGTTAGAACCTGTGCCGTAAGGCGGCACCAAGCTCGTCGAGGCACATGGAAATTCGCGCCCGTGGACTTCATTGACCAGAAGGGCCTCGAAAGCGTACGCCACGGGATTGACCCATGAGGACCATTCAAACCAAGGATGCATGTATGACCGCTGTAGCGTAAATCCAGTGTAGATCACGATCCAAAGTACCATCACGCCGGCGATTGCCAGAGCAGCAGATATGGTCTTCGTGACCGCCGCGGTGCTCCGGAAGATGGCTGACATGGTTAACATGGCCATGAAGTTGAACAGGAAGAAGATGAAAAAGTTCGACGCTTCATACCGCAGCCCGGCCAGGAAGTACAAGATGATGTTGAAGACCGTAGTCGTGCAAAACTTGATCGGGAGGTCGGCCACAATGCCCGCGACTGCTTCAGTGAATGGGTGGTAAAAGGCATATGACTTGTGTTTGGCGACAATCGGTCTTTGGGCGTAGAGGGTGTTGATCTCGACAATCGACTGCAAAGCACTGAGCAGGACTGCAAAGAACAGAACAGAGCCCTTTGCGAAGAAACTGCCGGTAGAAACTGGGGTCCCGAAGAAGATGGAGCCAATGATCAGAGCTTGTACGATCTGGCTGAAGACGACGGCACTGAATGAAGCGCGTGTGAGTGTAGTTCGGCTTGATTCAATGAAGGGAGAGGCTCTACTCACATGGTGGATGCTTTGTCGTTCCAGAGCCTTTGATATGCTCGGGTAACGCAGACGCGAATTTGCATGGGAATGCTGATCACATAGGGCGATTTTGGGCGGACGTGTTCAGCCTGCTGCCGGTGATGCGAGTCCCTGAACGCTTCCAGCGCCTTTTCACCACTGCCCTCCTCTTGATCGGCATGGTCTATCTCTTCTTGAGCGGCTTTGAACTGAGAGCTTTCCAGCCAGTATTTCTCGAACTCTTCGGCGGACCGAGGCACCTTGTTTTCGAAACCCTGTCGTGGTTGTCTCTCTCTAGGGTTGGTGACAGAGCTGCAGTTGAGTATTTAGCGACACCTCCGGGGCAGTATCTCGTACGGTAGGCTTGGTCTTTACTTACGTCAAAAAGTCGCCGGTAGTCTGCCTGGGCGGACAATACCAACCCATATCTTCGAAATACGCCCGAGCCTCGTCGCAAGGCCCGAAGTAGATCTGTCTGCCTTCATACAGAACAATTGCTTTGTCGCATAGGTCGTATATGGCTTGCGAGGCTTGGTAGATGGCGATGAGCGAAGTGAGGCCACCGAAGTCCGCTGCAATTCTGAGCGAGCGGACGAACTCAAGCGCCGTCTGCGAATCGAGACCACGGGTAGAGTTGTCCCATGCCGCAATTGGCGAACCTGGGAAAGAATAAGCCTATATTGCGGGTACAGCAGTGTGTCACGTACCGGCTAGGGCCATTTCAGCGATACTGACACGCTTGCGCTCTCCGCCGCTGACACCACGAACAAAGTCATCTCCCACTTTGGTATTCCGGGTATGTGCTGATTGAGAGGTCAGTCTCCACGACGCGCACATGATTTGAGCCGTTTAGGTACGTACATAGACCGAATATGTTCATCATGACAGATGCCATATATTTTGCCCACTCATCCCGGGGGGCATCAAGGATTCTGTTGGATGGTGTTTTGCACGCAGCAGCAAAGTTGAGGGTCTCTCCCACAGTAAGATGAGGGAAATGCTTTTCGTTCTCCTGGTTGTAGATGGCTTCGCCCCTAAACTCCTTCACAAACAGATCCTGTGGTATGCCAGAGTATGTGATCTTTGAGTCCTTTGAAAGTGCCAAACCCTGAAGCTCACCACAGATGCTTTTGAGAAATGTGGAACAGCCGCTTCCCGGCCGGCCTAAGACGATTAGCAATTCTCCACTGTTGACATGTCCATTGAAGTTGCGGAGGATTTGTTTCTCCTCGGGATGGCTGAAGAGCTCTCGGATGCGGAACGGCTGCGTGAAGATGGAACCAACAGTGTTCTGGAGTACCAGTGCCGAGCCTTTCCCAGAGATATTGAGATTCTTGAAGGTGAAGCCAGATCGTTGTGGCTTGATGTTCTGCTCCTCGAGCAGTTGAAGAAACTTCCGGATCCAGAGATAAAAGTTGAAGGCTGGGTTGTTGGGATCGAATTCAGGAGACTCTATCGCCATGCCGGCGACAGTGTCCTGTCTTTGAAGACCATCGCTCGTATAGGATTTTGTGCGCGACCGCGCTCCAGACAGGATGGAGGCAATTTTTGCCAGCTCATCGCGGGTGGCCTCGTCTCCATCATCGAAGCGGTAATCGTCTACGTCCCTCGTCTTTCGTGTTCGGATTGGCTCGAACGCCGGACCTTCGGAGCTGCTTGTTGATATTTCGCGCTCAAGCTGATCCTCTACCGGCGGAGGCACAGGAGACGTTACTTCGTCCTCGTTGCCCATAACGCGAAGGCTGGTTCACCGCAAGGCTGTTGACAAAGGCGAGACGAGCAGAAGGCGTCAAGAACCAGCCTCAAACAGTAGAGGACAGGCTTTCTCGGGTGATGGTTTTGAGGCTTCCGATGCACACAATGTCGCTGAGGTACCAGATACACACATGGAGTGGCTTAGATATTGAAGGTGACGTTTCAATGGAATAGAGGACAACAAACCGAGCTTGATCGATGGAGAACAAGCTATGGTTAAAGACTGGGTGGCCAGGTACGGACAGAGCTGCCATTTGCACAACACGCCTTGTCGTTGGGCCATGCATCCTTCTGGCCAGCCAGTGGTGTGAATCGAGGCATCCTTGCTTGTCAATCCAAACTCAATGCGAAAGCCAAAATCGGTCGGACACCCAATTTGCCGCGCAAACTTGGCTACCCTTCTGAGATGGATTGCATACGCGCAGCATGCACGCCAATTCCCATTGCTGTCATTCTACACAACGGGGTTCATCAGGTTTCCACTACCGTTGACAGTTCAGTAGCCGGATGATATCACAATTGTGCGACCGTACATTATGCCGCATCTTGAATAGTGCTGACTTGAGGAGTCCGGGAAACTGCCAACCATCTTCCAGCAAGCCGAGACTCTGGATCGGGAACAATCTGCTGCTGCGGTCCAGTAATGGCAATGTCCGGGGGGGCCTGAGCAAGATGCCAGCCCTGCATGTGCTCATGCACACAGTAATCCATTATATAATGCCGAGGTGGGTCTGTTGCAGGTGGTTGCCCTGAGTGGGTGGCAAGCTGTTTGCGACTCGGCCACTCCGCTGTGAAGAATTTCAGCTTCGCTAGCTTTGCGAAAGTCTGGAATGACGATTGGGGGATACCTGAGAGTAAGTCCGTCTCAACACGGAGTACGGAGTACGAACGTACTTGCGAAAGGCGTGAAAGGTCAGCTTTCGCTGATCCCGGATGATCAACAGGGTCGACGGAACGGATAAAGTCCGCAGCCAAGGCACAAGCAGGTGACAAGTCAGTTGTGCATCTGCACTAGTTCTCAAACCATCTGCTCCGGCCAGCCCGGAACGAGCAAGCCGACTGGAGGATCTTGCGTAGCTGTATCCCGGCCGAGTATTTGCTCGGGCACAGCCAACCAAGCAGAATGGATAGCTTTGCGAAGGACTCATCCACGAGGAACGCAACTTCAGAATTAGGTGAGCGCACCAAGAGTTCACCAAGGTTTTCGCGTTTGATGAGTCAGCGGTATGCCAAGCCGCTAACCCAAAACGTGGCTCCTCGCGAAATTCAGTCGCAAGTGACAAGCCTCGAGCAGATTCAAAGCAGATCCATGCAGCCTCACCAGACGTCCTAGGGAAGCGCTACGACAGACTAGCAGTTGTCATTGACTCGATACATCACCCACAACGCCGCCGAGAAGACGGTTCCATCGCTTTCTCATGATGATGAAATGTCTTTGCCTGGTCTTGGCCTAGAAGAGCCAGAAGAGGTTCACACTGTCGAGACCATCCAGCATGACTTGGAGAAGGAGACCGAATGGCGATTCGAGGTCCCCGTGGGCAAATACGTGCAGGTCAAGGTAGAACCCGGATCCCTGCTGCCGCCTATCCACGTCCTGACAATGATCTAGTTGCTGACTGGCACCGCCGAGTTGTTCGGCACTGAACTTGTGACCGGAAATACCTACACTTTCACAGCCACCAAAGCCGCAATCTACACATGGAATGGCTGCTCGTTCGAAGTCAGTGGCGATGCCTTGCAAAGCGAGTACAATGCTGAGGAAACCCCCATGAGTGAATACATCAACGTTCACTTTGCCCTGGACGAACTGCGTGACCGAGCGAGAGCCAATGGACGTGAAGGACCGAGAGTCTTGGTCCTAGGTCCAGACAATGCGGGCAAAACTACCCTTGCGAAAATCCTCACAGGGTACGCCAACCGGTCGGGACGCTCACCGGTCGTGGTCAACCTGGACGTGAAGGAAGGCGTCATGAGCATCCCGGGAACTTTGACCGCAACCGTGTTTAAGACGTTGATAGACGTGGAAGAAGGCTGGGGGACTGCACCCATGTCAGGGCCTAACGGAGCCATCCCGGTCAAGTTGCCCCTCGTCTACTTCTTCGGCAGCTCGAAACCAGAAGAAAAGGAAGGGAAAGTCTACAAGGCTCAAGTCAGTCGGCTAGCTCTCGCAGTGGCAGGGCGTCTTGCTCAAGATCCCGAGGCCCGGGAAAGTGGCCTCATCATCGACACTCCTGGCAGCTTGACAAACATCACGGCCGGTAACAGGGTCGGATACGACATCATCCAGGACATTGTATCCGAGTTCGGTGTCTCCGCCATCATCTGCCTAGGCTCAGAAAGACTGTACAGCGACATGGTCAAGAAATTCGATGGCCAGCCCGTCCCGTCACGCAGCTCTGCCACATACTCACCAGAAACAATCTCCGTGATCAAGCTCGCCAAGTCAGGCGGCTGCGTCGACCGCGACGTGGCTTACATGACTGCTTTTCGGGCTGCTCAAATCAAGACATATTTCTACGGCAACCCTCGGCTAAGCAACGGGGTCGCATTACAGCCTCGACAGCAGCAAGTCGACTTCTCAACTCTGACTGTCTGGCGCCGGGTTGGGACAACGCCCGACTCGTCGGCGCTTGCGGCGACTGGCGAGGACGACGAGGATTCATTTTTGCCCGGCGGGGCAGACGACGCTGACGACACGTCTCCGGCGACAACAAGAGTCGCGCTGCCCCCGAATCAGATCTTTGAACGGATGACCGCTCCGGTGGCGGCGATGCGAAGCTCCGTGCTCGCAGTGCTGAACTGTGATGGCGAAGCCGAGCAGGAGGTCAAGAGGGACAGTAGCGTCATGGGCTTTCTTTATGTGACGGACACGGACGAGGCGAGAGGAAGGATCAGTCTGCTGAGCCCCGTCGCAGGAAGGGTGCCGAACCGAGCGATTGTACGGGCCGGTTGGCCTGAGGGCGTTATCGGCTTGGAGAGGATGTGAACTACAGCATTTTCTCTCTGGATACTAGATACGTACCATCATTTGGCCATAATAATCGAGTTTGAAATCTAGGTTTATTTCTTGAGAAGCACCCTCGTTGTACCCTGCAATCTTCCAAGTGACTTGTACATATCGATCGCTCGATGCCATCCCCAGCCAAGGCATGGCCCATTCAGTCTACCAGGTCCCGCAGAACATCCAGAACAGATCTTATTCCCTTGAGAGCGTTCTCATCTGGCCCCTCACCTGGAGTCCACCTGGCATGGGCAAAATCAATCAGTCGTACCTCGTGGATCTTGTGTGGTTTTGTGTCTTGTTCGTCATCGTCATCGTCATCGTCATCGTCATCCTCGTCCTCGTCCTCATCTTCATCACCGACACCGTCCTCATGGCCAGCCGCCGCCTTGCCATCTTCCTTCTCTTCCCTCGCAATACTCTCCTCCAAGGTCTCCTCGTCTCCTTCATACACCATCAACACACTCGCACTGTACATCCGACTCTCTTCGTTCTCGAGAACATACTGAATGCTCTCCAGTTCGCGAATGAACCGTCGGACAATGAACTCTGCCCGTTTTTGCCTTAACTTGACCTTCTTGTTGCCGTCGCTCTCTTCGGCCCCACCAAAGTACGCGGTGAAAGCGTCAACGACGTTTTCCGCCTTGAAAGACTGGCCGTAGAACTTGTTGTAGGATTTATACCCGTTCTTGACCTCGACGTATTCTTTCTCAGCGGGCGCGACTTTGGCGTGGTCCTCTGATGTCGTGATGCCCGCCCAGATCTTCATTCCTGCAACTCGAAATCCCAGACTCCCACTCGTTGTCCCCTCGGCGACCTCGTCCAATTTTCTTCTCTTGGCCAGCGGTGCTTCGTCGTCCCAGAGTCTCGAGCCGAGCTTCACGTCCAGGACATTCGGATGCTTGAACCCGCTCGCCACGTTCTCCAGAACGATCGCCGTGCCCGTGGAGAGCTTCTTGCCGCCCGAGGGTTTCCAGGTCGCGCGCTTGATGAGGCCTGGAGTCGGGTCGGCGATGACACCCGCAGGCGCGGCCACCCCGTGGTGAGACGCCTCGAGAAGTGGTGCGACTGCGTCTTGGTCTTCATGTTGTGACAACGAGCCGATGAAGGTGGGCATGTGCGCCTGGAATAGAGGGTGGTCTTTCGCAGACTCGTAGAAGTCAATCTCGGCCTGAGTGCATGGCTTGATGATCAGGGAGCCGGAAGCGTTGGAGCTGATTCCTTCACTACACGATAGATCGTTAGCACGGGCCCGTGAACTTGAAGTGAGGGTGGCAGGCATACTGTCCGGCGGCGCTGTGGTCGAAGGGTACGAGCTCGGATTCACTGGGTGTAACGGCCACTTTCTTGCTGGCGTGGGATGCTTGAGGCGTTGCCATGTTGTAAAGTGAGGATGGATGAGGAAGTAGTGCACAGGAAGGGTTGGCGAGATCTCTACACACTATATATCGAGTCTATCCTTGTTACTGTAGGGGGCCGATCTTATCAGCTCAGCTCTGTGGGCCGGAAAGTTCCAAGTTCATGGTCGACGCAAGTTTTCGAAACGCCCGCCTGATTGCTGCTTTCATTGGCGGAAACGGTGATGCTGTCGACCCCGAGTGAGCTGAACGCGCGGGGCCAGCGACATCCTCCTCTATTCATCTTTTAGTGTAGTAGAAGAACCATACCCCGAGCAGTCCATATCCATGAAGAAGTGACAACAAGTGAATCTACCTGGATATCCAGGAGCATCACTCGGCTGTCTGCAGACATGATTGTTTGCTGAGCCGACCTTCACCCTCCCAACATCTGGTCTCAGCATCCTAGCGGTGAATAATGTTTCAAACCTGGCTTCATGTTCAGTCCGTCACTGTTCAACCTGGAGGTGACGTTCTGAGACAGTCTTCAATTACTGGAGCCAGCCAGATCACTTGAAGAGGAGACTGGCTATATCTCTTGGGTTGACCATCTGAGTTCGTCGTGTTGCCTCACCCATCAATCCGACACACCTCACTTTATCGCAAGAACATGGCAGGAGGTATAGAGCCAACACCGGTGGCGCAAGGCACAAGTCAACCTGACTCTGCTGTTACTCATGATACCGATGCCCACCCGGACGATGCAGCCACCAGTACTGACGTGCAGAATCTCCCATCGAGACCTCAAGCCAAGGGGTTCAAGACCAACGGCGATCATAACGAAACTCCAGCTGGCCAGCAACACACTCAAGAGAATGGCTCAGTTCAAGACGATGAAGAGGAGCAGGACGATCTCCAGAGTCAGGATCACGGAGTGGCGTCCAACGTCCCGCCCCTGGAGGAGAAGAAGAAGAAAAGAAAGAAGAAGAAGAAGCCAGCCAGTAAACGTGGATTGGTACGGCTTCAAGACCGGCGAATCTCGCCTCGAAGACAATTCTGACAACTGTGCAGGACAAGCCCACCGGGTTCGAAGACTTCTTCGCAGATGCCCCGATGACACCGGAAGAGCACGCTGAAGAGCAAGAACTCTACGACGCGTGAGTACGAGTCCACTCGTGCATGAGAGAGATCTTCCAAACTTGCTGACGCGCATGCTCCGCTTCCAGACAGATACATTTTGTCGACCGCGTCCTGACAGCCATAGCTCGCTTCGAGAGAACTCGCAAACTGACCCCCGAGCGGCGTGACGTTCTATACAAGTACCTCGCGTACGGTGGCCTGACCGTGGGACCCAACGTCGGCCAAGGGAGCGTCAACACGGACGGGCTCTCCAAGGTAGAGGTTGCACAGGCTCTCTCGCAAGTCTTCGCCACTGAGGACAAGCGCGACCTCGGCACGGAAACGAGTCTCTACGAGGTCGACTTCCTGGGCTGCATCAAGAGCTTCCTCAGCCGCCGGACCAAGAACGTGTGGGGCCTCGAGACCAGAGCCCAAGTCGACCTCATCTGCACCACCATCGAGCGATTCCTCGACTACCTGCTCCAGCACGACGTCTGCCCGGAGTACAACGACGACATCCTCGCGTCCCGGTCGTTTTGCCGCGTCGCCGCAGCCGAGCTGTGGGACACCGCCGAAGCCCTCCGCCGTCTCCCGGGAGAGTTCAACATTGCGTGCTCGACGCTCTTCGACGGAAGCTACGGGCACAACTACGACGGCGAGACATGGTGGGGCCAAGACGACGAGGGAGTCCCCGTCTTTGTGGGCATGAAATCCGAAGAAGCACAACAGATTGTCAAGTTCGGCGTCGCGGGCGCGGCGACGGAAACCGTCTACCTCGGCTTTCTGGATGGTGTGCAGAACCACGCGCCATTGATGCTCGATGTCATCGACGTCCAAGAACACGTGGGCTTCGAGATCACGAGGATCGAACCGCCCTCGAAAGAATGCAAGCAAATCTACACCTCGCAGTCGGCGCAGTTTCGCCCCGTCGGCCGCGTGACCGCGAAACCGTGGCGCAACCCCATGGCCCTGGCCGAAGACCTTACAGACGCGGAGAGAGAGGCTGAGGCCTCGTCAACCTCCCGCCCGGCCCACCAGTCCGAGTACGTCTTCTTCGTCGAATCGATCCTTCAATCCATGTTGCGCGTCGGCACGAAGATCGAGGCCACCGTCCGGACACTCGGATGCGGAATTATGTTCTTCGACGAGGTGCTTAACGTGTACCCCTCGTTTGACGAATTCATTGCCAATGAGATGCTGATCGGGTGGAAACCGCCCAAACCGATGAAAGGAGCGAACGATTATGTGTCGGGAGAGGACAGTGACGAGGATGAGGGCGAGGCTGAGGGTGCAGAAGAAGGCGTAAATGAAGCCGGCAACGTCAAGAACAGGCAGCGTGCTGGTGGAACCGCGGAGGAGTCGATCGACGATGCTGGAGAGCAAAAGGACGGTGGTGGTGGAGAGGCCAAAGACGGCATTGCGTCTAACGATGGTGGTAGTGTAGACGCATTCGTCTACAAAGAAGGGGCCATTCCATATTGAGGAAAACCCCTCAAGTGGTTTAAGAAGCCTTACTTAAGGAGTGAGTGGACGAAGGCGGCATTCCGTATTGAGGAAAACCCCTTCAAGTGGTTTAAGAAGCCTTACTTAGTCTTCCGTGTGAGGAAGTGGGTGAACAAAGGCGACATTCCGTGTTGACAAACAGACTCTAGTGGTTAAGGAATCCCTGCCTTATCCTTTGAAGAAGCGAGACCTCATACTCTTCTGACTGAAGGAGTGACACCTCATACTGTATAGCGCATGAGGCACACGCGCACGCACGCACAGACGCACGGTACAGCAAGGCACAGAGCAGCACAGAGCAGCACACTTTCCATACCTATTAATTAGCTGCTCGAGATGAGACAAGATCGAGAGTGAAAGTAGATAGGGACGGACTTGATTAATCAGTCGAGTGGGACCGCCACCACCAAGATTGACGCCGAGGTTGAGGCTGAGATTGAATATAGCATAGTATAGCATAGCATCAGACGATCAATCGAGCAATCAATCGAGCAATCGTGGAATCAGCCATATTGGTACCTACCGTACCTACCTAGTCACGACCAAGTACGTAGCTCGTCTCGAGAGCCACAGGTACAGGCGTGTCCAGCCCAACCTGCCAACAAGTCCATGCCGGCCTGGGTTTCCTGGACGATATAATAATATGTTAACATGTTAACATGTTGATATTTTAATGGCATGTGACATCCCACAGAATACCGGTATATGTGTGAACATGTAAATCGCTCGAATAGGACTCCGTACCGGTAAGGAGTTCCATCCAAGACAAAGGAAATGAAATGTAGGTAATCATCTATAGATTACCTAGGTACACTAAGCGGAGTCTGGTAACTTACTTGCATTGCTTCGACTCATTCCGAATCCCATTCCCATCGGGATATGTACACGCTGAGATTACCTAGGTAGGTACTGCACCGCAAAGTCGTTCGACCTCAAGAACCCCCCTGACGAACGAACGAGCCAACGAACAACCGAGCAAAGAGACAGTCGAACAATTAAACCAAGCAGATACGTCGAAGGGGAAACAATCAGAATCTCTTTGGCCATCGCGAACTTCAGCATCAGCGGTACATAACATCACCAGAGAAAGACGGTCCTCTGGTTCCTCACCCTCGCCCACCCACCGCCCGTCATTATCGAAATACATGCATAATTACAGGACCGAGAACGTATCCTGACTAGGTATCAGCATGCTACTATGCTGACTCGCTACGCTACACCTGCGCCACGCTACCCTCGCTTTTCATCGCCCTCGTTGAAACAAAAAGAACTGTGCAACCGCCCGTATATAGTGTCCAAGCTGGCGTGACCATGATCATGATCATGAAGGGTCCCCTGAACAAGTCCATGTACACCGACACCGCATGAATCTTCTACCCTGCTGCCCCCGAACCCGAACCCGGGCCGGACGCCCAAGCAAGGGCCTTCCTCCTCCACCAGGCCGTCAAAGCCACTCAGGGCCCGCTGTCGGGCCTTTTCTCGTTCGAGCCATCGTCGTGCTTCACCATCGTCGTGGTTGTCCGTCTCGGTCTCAACGTTCTCGCCGCTGTCGCCCACATCCCAGAGGAGATCTTGAACAGCGATGTCCTAACTCAGCCGATTCAAGACCTTCTTGCCAAGCATGAGCACGCTCTTTCTTCGATTAATGTCCGTGTCGCGCTCGGTGCCGTCGGTTTCGTTGCCCCCAGGGCCTGCCAAGGCTCCCGCAAGGGACGGCCGGCGCGAGGGCGTATCCATGCCACCACCAGCATCAGCCACCCCTGCACCGGTACTGGCGTCGGTAAAAACATCATCGGCGCTGTGTGCTGCGGCGGCCGTGGTTTTCTCTCTGTCCCTGTCTTTGTCCTTGTCCTTGTGGCTGGATTGAGACTCTGACCGTTCTCGATGATGTTCCTTCTCCTTGTGCGACTCGCTCTTGATGAGGCTCAAGCCGCCAAAGTGCACGCGTCCCTTGACCGTGTCGGCGCTGAAATGTCGGCCAATCGTGTCTTTAAGGAGCGATCTGGCCGGGCCGTGGGAGCTAGATGGCGGATGCGGGGCGGACGTTGGCGGCATCGCAACATTGGCAGACGAGGTGGGCACGGAAGAGGGATGTGCTGATGAGGGGCGTCGTGCCGAGAAGAGGGACGATGTAGCGCTTCCGCCAGATGCGCTGGTGGGAACCGAGCCTGCTGTCCCGGTCAGAGACCGTGGAGTCGCTAAGGCCGTCGCACCGATGGCCGCCCCTGTGTTGGGCAGATTGATCCCACTTGACCAGCTTCCGCTTCTCAGGAGTGGCGATGGCCCGTGGAACGTCCCATTCTTATGACCATTCGTCCCTGGCGGACTCTGGAAGGTGATGCCCGACTCCAGGTCGTCGTCTTTGCCGTCCTGGCTGAAACTATACAGACTCGTCGTCTCGCTCGTCCCCGAGAGTTGCAGATTGATGTCGCTGTTTGGGATCGTGCTCGAGTGCGCAATCTCTTTGAGCCTCTCGACCTGCTTCTTGCTGGGTCGGTGATGCGAGAATTTATTGCCGATGATGGCGCCCGTGTGAGAAATCAGTGCCCTTATCACATCCTTCTTTAGCCGGAGCGCAAGATCCAGATTACTCCACGTCTTATTCCGATATTCGAGAGTCGGCATGCGGAACACAAAGTCGTGGAGGTCCTCGAAATTGCGGTCTGACTTCCCCTTGTACGAAAGACAGACCACGAAACTGTTGAGCTTCACGTGCGCCAGGGTCATGTAATTGGATGCGCGGGACATCATTTGACTCAGATCATCGTTGGCGGCCTTGTCTTTCTTGTCCTTTTTGGTGGACGCGGGGCCAAGGTTGAAACGTTTCTTCTCGGTGTCGCCGTTCCCCAGGGCGACGAGACTCGTGGAGGAGGCGTCATGTTTCTTAGCTGAGCGCAGGCTGCCTGACGAGCCCTTGCGGACAGGTTCCTTGAGCACGGACCGTGCATTTGACGTGTTGAAATGCTTAAAGAACTTGTGGTGCTCATTCGAAATTCCGAGGCCTTTGTTCTTGCCATGCGAGGAGTGATTGTTATGCTTCTCATCGTAGTCCAGGCCATAGGTCGGTTTGAGCCTCCTAGCCACAGCCGCTGGCGACGGCTCGCAAGCTTTGTTTGCATCTTCCTTGTCAAGACCTTCTCCAGACATCAGGGCGCTACGTGCTTCGACGAACTCCTGATCGTCTTCGACGTCTGTCGGTTCCAGGTTCTTAACCATCAACGGCGAGAAGTTACCGGTCTCGAATGCATCAGACCCGGAGCTCGGGAAGATGTACTCAAAGAGTTTCTTGCCGAGTTCCCTCTCCAGTTGGACTTTGAGCGGAAACACGGTGACTTGGAAGTGCTCAAGGACTGGTATGCCCGCGATGGCTTCGAGCATGTACCAGTGCACTTGAACCATCTTCTGGAGTTCCATTATGCTGGGCCGTCTGTCCTTCTCCGATGCCTCGTAGTAGGGTCCTATGATCTCGGGATACAGCGCGTTAGGAAGCAGGTTCCAGCCTCGGATATGCTCGATCTCGAGGGCGTTGTGGTTCGAACCGTCGGTGTTGTCAATCCGCTCGTATGCAGCATTGCCGAGCTGAAATTCGAGCAGGGGCTCATCCTTCTCCCGCATCAGGTGCCATACGATTTCCGAAGCACTCAAATACCACCGTAGAATCCCACTGGTTTGGGAAGCCTTCCGATCCTCGCTCTTCTGCTGAGAAGTATTGATGGCTTTCATGATGAAGAACAGTTCATCTTCACAGCTTGCGAGATCTTTCTCCAGGTTGATTCGATCCTGCCAACCCTGCTTGTCGAGGTATTTCGCGTTGATCTGGAAATGTAGTTTGATGTCTTCAAGCTGGCGGATTCGTTCCTGCAAGCTCTCGGCCATCTCGGGAGCTCCTCGCAGATCGCTAAAGTCAGAGGCAAGCATGATCTTCTCTAGCCGCTCACTCCTTGTCTTTTCCAACGGTTCGCTGTACAAGAGCAAGTCGAGCACTATGATGTACATGGCATAGTACTGGGTCGAGTCGCATCGAACACGAATCCGGGGGAAATCGACCCAAAGCTGATCAATCCGATTCTCCCTCCGTGCTGCGTCGTCCAGCTCGCCGTTTTCGTTGCTTTCGACTTCCTCGTTGTACTTCAGCCGGAGCGGATTGTACTTCTCATATCTAAGGGCGGCGGAAGTCTTCTGGATAACTCGCTGGAACCCGAATGGTTCGAGATGGAAGTCGAACATGGCCTCGAGGGAGACCCATGGCGGCCACGACGAACCAGGGCTGTTGCCGTACTTATTGCCGGAGTAGAGGTGGAGGTATTTGGCGAGCGTCTTCTGAGTCGCGACAAAGAACTGGGCACCGTCCATGTCAAGCGCAAAGCGGCGTTGAACCAGTCCACTGACGTCGTCTGACATGCGAGCCTTGTCCATGATCGAGACGACTTTCAACTGCATGCCCTTGGCCGAGATCAGCACAATAGCTTTGGTATTCTTTTCGCTTTGGAGCTGTATCTGGGGAGCAATCAGGCGAAGGTGATAACTGTTCATCGCTTGAAAGTTCTCCGCAATCTTATCAGCAGGGTCGCTGGTAGAGGCCCTCCTTTCTAGGTTGGTGTCGCCATCGACGGGCGACTCCGAAGAATCTTCCTCGGCGTCGGGGGCGTGTACAAATCGTTTGACGTCGTTCAAAAGCTGCATGATCCGATCTTCTATCACGGAATCTTCGTCTTTCTCTTCACTGGGCGAGATGACGCTTGGCGTCGGCGGCACTGGAGTCTGATGCTTCCTCTCTTGCCTGCGCCGTGCATCTTTCGCCCGAGCTTGCTCGTCCACGATGTCGAGGATGAACTTGACCGCCCGGCGTGACATGTAGTACACGAAGCCTCGGCGTTGGCTGACCTGATGACTGTAACGCAGGATGATATTGCGCAGTGAGTTGTTCCATTTCAGCTGAACGTTGTGAATGATGAAGCGGTTGTTGAAATCACTCGCAA